AATAAGCAATAAACTCACTATACGGACTGTACAAGTACATACCATAAATCCTCGATTAAGCCCCTTGGGGGCTTATTTGTTTCAAGCACATTTGAGGGGGAGGGGGGGGGGTTAATAAAGACCCGGGGCTTATTTGAGAAGGGGGGCTTATTTAATTGAGAAATGATGATGCAGGTATCAGTTCTCCATAAAGAACTAGAATACAAAGTGGAAAAGCTCAGCTGTAAGAAGTTTTAGGTCATGCAGCCGAGGATCAGAATCAAATCCAGACTTCCAGTTGGTAAATAAAACCATCCTGGATCAGTCCACATGAAGTTTTACGGTCACGATTGATTAATACAGTCTATCATTTAGTAGCAAAGAATAATTAGGGGAGGGGAGGGGGGGCTTAATAGAGAGGGCAGGGCTTATTAACTTTCTTCCCCTGAAAAGGAACCCTCATTAGAGGAAGTGGGCTTATTTGAGAGGTTGGTGGGAGCTTAATAGAGGATTTATGGTATGATAGTCTATGTTGTTACCTTGTAGTGGGTTCCCTGTGTTGATGTGAGCAGGGTTTCAAAAGAGTCCTGTCCAGTTGTTTGGGACGTGTAGATTTTCTCATTGAGCTGGTAGCTTACTTTTAACCTACACTTCCCCAGTAGACAAGGGTCCTTGCAAGTCATCTTTGAACTAAATCATCAACTCAAACAGCCCAGCATTAGTCCTGGGCAAGCAAAGTGTGAGAGCTGCTTGGCCACTGGACAGGCTGGAATTGACAAGTTATTTTCGAGTGCTATGGGTGGGTCTTGGTACAGATGTAACAGCTACAATTTTTAACTCACTCATTCAATTGCTTGTGTTTGTGTGCTAAATAAATGAGTTCTGCTGTCAATAGCTGACTGTACATGTAACTAGACTAACAGTGTATGTGATAGCACAGCGTTTGGGGCACTGAGGATTTTATTAGAGGTGCCCTGTTTTATTTCTAATCCCACAGTTAATTTCATTTTTATCTCGGACTCAACTTTTTTACCAACATCAATGCTTTGCTTACTTGGTTTTACTCTTAATATTTAACAATGTGTAAAACTGTAAAACTTTGTTTTGTAGGAATTGAGAAAACCATTTGACAAAGCCTGGAAAGATTATGAAGCTAAAGTGTAAGAACCTGAAACAACTTACGATGTGTCATATTTGATATTATTCACAATTTTCAGTATTTTTATTTTTATACAATTTTTTTTTTTTTCTTAAGAAAGATGAAAAGTTTCCACATTAAATGTAGTATTAAATATTGTCTGCGAGCAAGCTCTCCGGGGCCCCAGACAGCTTGCTCACAGGCTAATGTAGCATAAGCTCTCACATCCTTGTTTCTTCAAACTCCCGATAAATAGAACCAAAAGTGACTTTCCTTCCACAACTCAGCACTGCAAGTTAACATGATATTTCAAGACTCTTGATAATTTTCTATAGGGGTGAGGCTTAATAGTTGTGATCTCATGAACTGTGTTGTAGGGCAAAGATTGAGAAAGAAAAGAAAAAAATGGCCCAGGAAGCTGGCTGCCTCAGGACAGAAGTTACCGGAGGGGAGGTATCTTGATTCAAACTTTTGATAAAGTTCGAGTTGAAAGTGATGCAAAGTTACAATAATAAGATAGAAACCTTTGGCACCTGCACTGCATGTGTGTGTCCATCTAGAGATGTCGGTCTAATAGATTGTTGATAAAAAGGAGTAATGGAAGGCATGGACCATAACCCCTGGTGTCTGTTTTAGCGAGGTGTTCTCCTTAATACACTGTAAAGGCATTCATTAAGATTATGATTACAATTTGCGTAATGATCCTGATGGGTAGAACCTCTCTGCAGATGTACTGCTACTACTACCACTACCACTACCACCACCACCACAACCACTATCACTACCACTACCACTACCACTGTGACTGCAACTCGACTGCTGCTGCTAAAAAATCGCTGTTTATTTAGGTTTTTTTTTAAAATTTTGTTTTATGATTATTACTGGTAATTGTATATTTAGATGGCTGAAGAGACCGAAAAGGAGAGGAGATATTTTCAGTTGCAAATGTGTGAGGTATTTATACTTAATATACGGATCAAACACAGTAGTATATCTGTCTGCAAACGTACTAGTTTTGATTGTAGATTTATTCATTCTTGCAATCTTGAGAATTTGCATTATGTTGACCTGAGAATCGAAGACTGAATTCGGAATGTTGTATCAGATCTAAAAACTGTTATATCAAACATAAATATTCTCCTTGAACGAATGCCAAATTAAGAGTTAAAAAGTCTGTAAGTACTGCAGTGTTTTTTAAAGTATATATTTATTCTGTGTTTTATTGGATTCAAGTTTTTAATGAAGGTGAATGAAATCAAAATCAAGAAAGGAGTTGATTTGGCTCAGCATCTTGTGGATTTCTATGATGCTCAAGTGACGTGAGTTTTGTCAATCATTGTCTTTCCTCTTTCAAAGAAGACCCAGACTTCTGAGAAAATTGGAATTGCATACTATAGCTGTCAATGACTAATCCTATATAGAGGTACTACAGCCGAAGAGGTTTCATTTGAATGGTTACACTAGAGGATTTCGTCCACAGACTCAAAAGTTAGAACCCCATACTAAATGAATAGTGCCATGTGAAAGTACTGTCGGTGAAGAGGTTTTGTTTTGAATGGTCCTTCGTCATCACCACTGTCATCATCATCATCATCATTGTTGCGTCATCGTCATGCCAAAACTGATCTTTAGCAGATTTTATTCATCTCTTTCTAGGCCTGATTTGTTGTAAAAAAAACTAGTGCAATTTTTTTTAAACTATTACCTACAGCGTATACAGCAAGTACATGTACATTGCTATTTGCTATTGCAGGTATTTTCAGCGAAGTTCTGAAGTGCTGGAAAACATGCGAGGCTATTTAGGGGATCTTGCTGCAAATCTTCAACAGGTAAGTGGCCGATAAACCCTGTATTTACTGTTTTAGGCCTCAGAGAAAAAAGGATAAATTTGCTAGGGAGGACTGGTCTGTAGACATTGATTTGAAAGAAATTCATGGAAACGTTTAATACTTACATGCTATGTTCATCCTCTACCGGTTCGCTTTTCATGCCGACAAGTAATTACTTAATTAACCTCATGTCATTACGTTATTTTTTACTTCTTTCAAATAGTCAGGTTTATATAGCTTCAGAGTGCATTCCTTTGTTTAGTAATGGTAAAACTCGTTATAATCTTGTCAATTTTTATTTAGCTAAGAGCGCAACAGGACGAAGAGAGAAAGGAATTAATTGAGTTAAGAAATGAAATCAAAAGCCAACTACAACCAGAAAAGGATGTGAGTAAATCATTCATTTTCCGACATAAGCCGGAGAAATTAAGTTTACAATTTCCCAATAAATTCGGGCAGATGGACCTTTCGAAGCTCAACAAAAACTCATCAAATAGTACTGAAATTGCGAGGGAAGTTTCTTGGGAAAAAAAAGGTTCTGAAAATTCCAAGTTCCGGATTCAAAGTCAAATGAAACGGGGATCAGTTTTGCAGGAATAAAGTTGTGAGAACAACTGGGTATACCTCAAGAGTTAATCCTATTTTTTAAATCTAAAAAGTGGAAAAACTGTTTGCTACGTTGAATTTGAAAGCGGTACAGTCGAACATCTCCACAACGTCCAGCTTAGGGATACAAGAAAGTGGTGGTTGTAGGGAGGTTTAAACAATATCCAGTGTATGAACTGTCTGCCAAAAAAAGTGGCCGCTGTAGAGAGGTGGCCAATAGGAGAGAGGTGGCCGTTAGTGGAGTGTTGGCTGTTATTGAAGAGGTGCCTGCTTGAAAAGTGGCCCATCTCTATTAAAATGTTGTGTCGTGNAGAGAGGTGGCCAATAGGAGAGAGGTGGCCGTTAGTGGAGTGTTGGCTGTTATTGAAGAGGTGCCTGCTTGAAAAGTGGCCCATCTCTATTAAAATGTTGTGTCGTGATATGCCGCGTTAGTTTTGCGTGTGTTTTTTTAAAATAAATGTTTGTTTTACTAGTCATCACAGAGCAAGGCAGGCTACAGCTTACATGGACAACAAGGTGATAAAATGCATGGAAATGAAAAAGCTGGATTTCTACTAAAGCGTAGCGAAGGGTGAGTTAAACTTTTACCACACATCTTTACGAAAAAAGTTACTGCATTGTATTGTTTAGTATCGTATCGTATTGTTTTTATTATTACACGCGGGAAGGTTGAATATGATTGGCTGGCAATCTCTTGTTGGCCGATCAAGTGTGACACTTTTGTCTTGAATAACCTGTATGGATGTTACCATCAGAGTTCAAGGGGCGGAAGCAATGTTTCTGCGTTCCTTTAATCGCTAGCGAACGAAAGAAGTTGTTAAACGCGTCAACTGATTGGAGGCCTCTTGAAATATATGTTGCGTTTCAATTTTATCCTTGGTTTAAATTTTATTTTCCTTTGTTTTTGGGTATGGCATTTGTATGATAATGAGTTTGAAACCAAGGGAAAAAGTTAAACCAAGGATAAAATGGAGCAACGTGTATGCAGCAATTAGAGAGAATTTTCGTACGACCTTGAAATAACGAAGGCGCGAACAAAACAGAAACAACAAACGAACGGAAATAGAGCGATTTGATTGGTTTATCGAACGGATACAAACGCGTGTGGCTTTTGGTTGGTTAAGCGAACGCTCGGTTGAAAAAACTTCATGCCCGAGAACTTTCGAGAAATCAATTGATACTTCGCTTTGACGTCATAGTGTAACACGATTGGCCAATCAAACAATGCCTTCTCCACATCAGGGTTTTCTTTGGCAGGAAAACGAAGAGTCCATGTTTTGATCTTTTCATCCATTGGCTGATAAAACAAATAACGAAAACTTACTGAGCTAATGGCGGCATTTGTAGCTTTAACGTGGAAGCCGAGAAAAGTTTGGAATTCGTGGGAAATGAATACGATGTTTACACAACTCCCACGTCGAAACGAAAACAGAATTGGCACGAATCAAGTTCTTTTCTTGAGTTTTCATAGGAGAAAAAAAGAAAAAAAGGGGAAGGCCAAGTCCAGCAATCTTGACCCGACAAGGACACGCTTAGTCACTTCAGAGTGTGAAAAGACTTTGTTTTTTTTTGTCCATTTTAGATTTTGATGTGTCACCTTCTTAATAATATTATTTTCTTTGTATCTTTGTATTTCAGTTTTCGAAAAGTTTGGCAAAAGAGGTATTGCATAGCCAAAGAAGGAATGTTTACATTAGCTCACTCACCGGTAGGAATTTTCGCCGATAAATAGCAAGATTTTGCAAGTATTTTTGATAGGTTTGCTTGTGTGATTAACCCAGAAACGTCTTTGTTGTAAAAGCAGTAATTATCTATTATGGTTATGACAAATCAAAAGGTAGTATTTGAGACACAGGTACACCTGTGTTGAGGTATCATTTGTATACTTTGAACTCATCTATCTGTATTCTCATTGGCTAATTTTTGGAAATCACCGCAGTCTACTAGTCTGTAGGTTGCACGCGTAGTACATGATTTCAAAGAGCAATGACGTCCAGCTCTGTTCAGTGCATCGTGTGTTAAGAAAATTGAAAACGCCAAAAATTAAAAGCAATTATTAGATTCGGTTTTTTGTGATAACCGGAAAAATCAAGGTCTCGGTAAAAAAACTCGTCCAATAACTGTTTAGCATTCATTAACTTTACGTACCAATCGCTATACTCATTTCACGAGTACAATAAAGTATGGCTTTTACAACGGCTAGCCTTCCGCTGGCCATTGTAAACGCCCATACAAATACCCTGCTCATATTTCGTTTGTAAGTCAGGATTCTGGCCGCGGTCTAACTTCCTAAATGTGCTTTGTTTTTGTAGTCAAGTCGACCAACCCAAACTCTTAATCTTCTTGTTTGTCAAGTAAAAGTAAGTGTATATCCGGCAAGCTGAGTTTTTAAATAGAATAAGCATATTGTGTCCCTTTCCCAAAACTCTGAAATGAGCCTCCCTCCGTATGAAATTCCCAGGGGTTTATACTTGGGAATTGCCCCAATATACATAGCTAAACTGCCTTACATGTACCATACCGGAACATTATGAGACAAGCCCAGATGTGCATTTTCATATGTTAAGGTTCAATGATCAAGCATCCACCGTACAAACGGGGTATTTCTCGATTCTGCGAACACGTTGATGGTTAGTTATTGTGCTGCCATTCATGGTTAATACGGTGTTCATTTTTTAAATGTTTTTTATGCTGTTGTGTTGTTTAGTCAATGCTCCAGCATTATTTAGTGTAAATACTGTAGCCCCTTAAAATATAAATCTCATAAAGAAGACCCTTTGACGGATATAAGCTCCGGAGATTATTGTCCAATTTTTATGGTAACCGAGATAAAACTCTTATTTTTTTTAGGAAGAGGATGGAAAGAAACATACTTTTAACATTGTATCACGTAGGTTTTCAATCTTTCATAACATTATTTGCTCTTCTTCTGATAGTATCTAAGAAAAAACATTTTGTCGAACTTTCAACCTCATCCCTTCCAGACCTATTTTTGGAGACATATTCATTAGTCCTGACTTATTTTTAATCCTTTAGACTGAATCCTATGGTATAGTTATTCTCAGGAACCCAGTATTTTCGCCAAGTACCATTTTTTAAAGATATGAAATTTGCGAATTTGTGTCGTATCCATTTTATTCATTATTAACCATTAATGGGCAAAACATGAACTAATGCCAGGTGAGGTTAATTTAATGAATTGGCATGCCCAGGGGCCTACAATTTAACACTTTGATTGATTGATTGCTCGATTGATTGTGTTACCCGCTAATTAACCCATCCTGCTAAACTGAGGCAGGCTGGCCAAATATATGATGGCAATACAAAGGCAGGGGCGGGTCCAGGATTTTTCTTAGGGGGGAGGGGAGGTGTACCACTAAGGAATTGCGTAACTGACTGGTGACGTAAACTTAAGTTTTACTACAGAATATCAGTTGTATTAGAAAGCCGCAGGTCTTCTCATGGGGTGTGGGCGGGGGGGGGGGGGCACCCCCCGGCCCCTCCCCCCTGATTCCGCCCTGGAAGGGTTTAACATTCTGATTTTTTTTTCAGACAAAAGGACGGATTTATTTCAAGCTGATTATGAAGCCCGATTGGAGGGCGAAGTGGGATACGGTGGTGCCTAACAAAAAAGTTAAATTGGGGGGGGGGGGGGGGGGGGGGGGGGTGCGCACCCCCTGCACCCTCCCCCTTGATCCGCCCCTGAAAGGTTTTACGATTCTGATTTTTTTTGCAGACAATAGGACGTATTTATTTCAAGCTGATAATGAAGCCGATTTGGAGGCGTAAGTGGATTACGTTGTTGCTAAACAAACAGGTTAACTGACTGATGGTTGGTTTTCATATTAAACTAATTTATTTCTGCGTTCATGATTTCCAGCTGGGTACATGTTCTAAACAACAGTCGGACCGAAGCGTTGGAGAAGGCGTTCGGCGACAGTGACAAAGCCGAGGTACACGTCTCTGTTGTTTTAGTAATAAAAGACGTAATTCAACTCCACCCAACAAATCTTTTCGATTGAACAATATCTTTGGTGCTAGAAATGAATCGACTGCTTCACGTTCGCTATTGTTTTTCGTTTTTCAGTCAGAAGAGAACTGCTCTGTGGTTAGCAACCTGAAAGAGGTAATGACTGTTTTTTGCTAAGAAACATTTCTGATTTGGTTCCATTTTTGATAATTTGTCAAGTTACATTAAAGGAACAAAACATGGTTAGGAACGGTGTAGCGCTGATAAGTTGATCACAATTAAAGGAAGACAGCTAGTCTTTAAGGAGCTATGTCTCGAGGATATTGTTGTTTTAGCTCAATTCTGTGCTGAAGTTTTTACTGAGTGCCTTTATCCCACACACAAAATGCTCTTTCAGAGATATGAAGAAGATATCAAACAGATTTTATAGTTAGAAAGCACAAACCATATTAACTTTTGGTGATTTTTGCTGTCATAGCATTCAAACTTGAAAAAGTCTGCCCAGCTTTTTCAAGTTTCAATCCATGTCCATCCTTGCCATCCGTTGTTATAGACGACAGAAAACAGCTTTAATACCTAAACATAGTCCTAAATAACAAGACTGGACCATTATGTTTAGAATTCAGTTAATGCGAAGACATTTGAGCTTTTCAAAAAATGGGAAATAGCATGACATGGTCCGATCAGCCTGCGAGCAGAGCCTTCTTTTGTCTTCTTCGAGATCGAGGAATAGAAAAGGAGGCTGTAGCTGAATCTCGTCAATCCTTTGAAGTCGCTGCAGTCCGAACTTAATCTTGTTTTTTCTTGTCAAACTGGTTTTTCGCGTGGGAGCATTCATTTGTTGATAAACGATTATCATCATTGAGCCCGCTAAACCAAACGTACGGCTTTAAAGGTGATGTTACACGAGACGATTCGCAACAACGATTTTTAGCGCAACACGGCGCTGTAACATTGTTGCGACATTATTTCGAATGATTACAACATTGTTCCAACATTGCAACGCTGTGTTGCGCTTAAAATCGTCGTTGCGAATCGTCCCGTGTAACATCACCTAAGGTCTGATTTTGAAACTGTTTCCTGGCGACATGTAGCGCATGCTCAACAAAGATATTACTCAATTCATGCAGGGTCTTTCTCGATTACACCTAATCGAGCAAGTGAATGAAAGGCTCTGTTAGCAGGTTGACGAAAGATTTGAGATGGAAACCAAACGGAGGAAAGGTTCTTTCTACCATCCTCCTTCCCAGGGTCCACTCGGCTCCAATCATCTCTGCTCGCTTGCTGCCCGCGAGAACTTGGTAGAATTTTAAGTAATTGCACGGTCAGACCTTTTACATCTGTATGTCGTCCTATTGTCAGCTAAGGCAGAGTATTGTGTCCCAAGTGCGGCGTTTGCCAGGAAATGACACTTGTGCAGACTGTTCTGGGAAAGGTAAGAAATTAACTAAAACGGCTGTAATTTTTAATTGAATTACGCTGTGCAACCTCATAAATTATATCATTATTTAAAATTATTATTAAAAAGTGAATCATTGGATAATGCAATTCTAGAGCTCTGATTGGCTTAGCCATCATGGTATATGAGCCATTATACCATGCTCTCCAAATAATGGTTACTGTACGCGTCTGCTCAAAATTAAGAACAAGCTGAAAATCGGTTGTTTTTACAAATAAAGTTGGTAAGAATTCTCGATTTTTTTGTGAGCGTTTTAAATAAAACAATTATTCCACTCGCGCTTGTTAGATACGAGATGATTAAAGTCAACTCGGCAGTACGCGCACTCATGGAATAATTGTTAAATAGCCAATGAAATAAGCGATAGCGTGCTAAAAAGAAGTCGCACAGTGCAATAGGACAATTGCACGATGACGTCATTTTACTACAACTACCAGAATCCTTGAGTTTCTTGTTTTCTTGGGCAAATTAAGGCTATTGTTCTTTAATCCTCAGCGGGATTGACAAATTTAAATAACAGAGCAAAACCGAAATGAATTCTGGTAGTTGTAGTCAAATGTCTTCATCGTGCAATTGTCCTGTTCGACGAAACTTCGACCCAGTCGCGCGCGTAAAGTCAACAAAGCCGATAGAGAGGTGTCCCTATTGTGGATACGCCACTTTCACATTTCCCATAATGCACCGTATTTGCCCCCCCCCCAAATTTTGCATAACCTTTGTTTTTCATTTCTCCTGGATATTACTAGCAGCCGTCCCAAGAAAAATTGAAAACAATCCTTATGCACAATTCTGGGGGGCAAATAAGGTGCACTATGGGACATGTGGAAGTGGCGTATGAATCCGTGAAAAAGGGTCCATGTTCTTGAAATGTTGCTTAAAATGAGAGTATTGAAGTTTCTCATAGACGGTACTTACTTTCCCTGTTGACAGATCCCACGTGGCTGGCCACTAATCTCGGGGTGTTGCTGTGTATAGAGTGTTCAGGGATTCACCGAGATATGGGAGTACACATCTCTAGAATACGATCCATTGAGCTGGACAAACTCGGCACTGTTGAACTACTAGTAAGTTTATGGCCAGCGTTGTGTGGTTTGGAGATGTGGTTGTCTTGTGGTGAACGCGTTGGACTTCAGAACTCGGAGGCGTTCGGTTTTGAAACCTTTACCTTGTCTTAGCTATAGAGCGGTTTTCACTTGACTGTCGTAAAACCAAAACCAAAGTAAATACACTAGCCAACCAAAGGGCGTAGTAAAACCAAAACCAAAACCAAAACCAATCCCTTTCGACAGTCAAGTGAAAACCGCTCTATACAGAAACTTTGTTCCACATTGTCTGTCTCCACCCAGGTGTATAAATGTTGGTACCAGTGAGGGTACCGGCGACTCACTCCTTGAGATAACCTGTGATAGGTAGGAAGTGAGGTTGGGAAGAGGGCCTAGAAAGGCGTTATTTTGGAATTTTGCAAGTTGCCCTACTTCTCTATAGCAAAGCGAGGCAGGCAAAATCTGTTAAATTTGCGGGTGGAATGTCATTTGATACGAACGGGTAGGTTAGAGCTCAATTTGAAAAGAGATAAAAGAGAAAGTAGAAAGTAGTCTTTTGCTCACCTTTTTTGTTTAAAGTTCCTTAGTTATAGAATAGAGTTATAGAAGTTATAGAATACTTGAAATAGATTTTTTTTTTGCTTTCTTGTATTAACAGCAAGCGAAAGCAGTTGGAAACGGCGGATTTAATGAAATCATGGAGGCCACTTTAGACTACAACGAAAAACCAACATCTTCAAGTAACATGTGAGTTATTTATTTCCCTTTGGTTTTGAACAAAAATACCAACAGCACTCAGCTTTGTGTGATGTTTACCAAGACCTCATAATTTCTTTTTCAGGGATGAAAGGAAAGAATTTATTCGAGCGAAATACATTCAACATAAATACGCAATAAAATCAGGGGACAACGAGGAAAAAATACTTCAGGTGCGTTTGTTACGTGTTGTTATTCTCCGAGAAAGAGTTCCTTCCACGTTTGGTGCTATCTTTACATAGAAACTTCATGTTTTAATCGGATAAATTGCTGCTTCACAAACTTATTTATAGCCTCCTTTGTTTTTGACAGGAGCTTCACCAAGCTGTCAAATCTAAGGACATCTTAGCGGTTTTACAAGCGTTTGCTGAAGGAGTAGAGCTCTGTACACGGCTTCCTGGTCATGTAAGTCTTAAATACGTGTAACGTAACTACAGGGAACGTTCTGGAAAACCTATACCAGTATCACTGGTATCACGTAGACGCGATCGTTTGGCAGCGGTTTCAGGCATCTCCGCACGCGCTAGGGGTCGGTTGCTTGTCTTCCTATCGTCTTCCCAGGATTTTTCCAAAATGGTGGCAAAAGTCATTTTTTTGTCCTTCTGACAATTCCCCCTCAATTCCCCCTTTCAAGGCTGTAAAAGCAATTTTGAATTCTGCAGGTGCAACTGAGGCAATGAGGGCAAATTAACAAAAATATAAAAGAAAAGCAAAATTGCCTCCATTTTGAATAAAGTGTACCTTTCTGTGCTTGCTATGTATGCCTTCTTACGGTCTGGGTGTTTCTTAGTGTCGCGAAAGCTATTGTAGGTTAGCGACTTTATGATGCAGCGAAACAACTTACGGCGTAACGCCTTTGCAACGAAAGGACTTGCAGCGAACGACTTTGTAGTGAAACAACTTCATTATGCAGCGAAGCGGCCGTAAACCATTGCGTTGTGGTGTGCGTATCGTTCCGTTTCTTTTCAATCTTTTGTATGACGTAATTTTGTGATTGCACCCGTCCGCAATAACAAGAAACTACAACACTAACTTCATTACATTTAATTTTTTTTGTCCTGGCTAGCCGAAAAATGCCACAGCTCTTCATGTAGCTGTTGAACAGGAGGACTTGACATCCCTTCATATCGTCGATTTCTTAGCACAAAATTGGTAAGTCAGTATTAATGTTTTTATTTTGTAAATTTAAGGGACTTCTGTCATATATGTAATACCCAAGTAAACTATATTGTAATAAATCGGGGTTTCAGAGTTCCATGTATTCACCAACATTGGTAGTTGAGCCATCTTAAAATATTAAAAAGGAGACTTGACCTCCATAATTTACTCTGACTTAACCTCACAGAGTTAATGAAGGAGGTTTGTAAGGTGGATCTCTTGATTCTAAAGACAAAATCCTTTTGGGTGACTATCCAAATAAAACCTCTTAGACGGTACTTTGAGATGGTCATGTACTATTTATTTGGTACATAGTCATAACTTTTCAGTCTCTAGACGATCTGCCGCATTTAGTTACGTTTGTAAGTGGGTGTTTGGCTGGAAAACAGCGTCGCAATTAACAGAGCAAGCACAAGGATCTTGATCTGGTCAGCGGTCAGCGATGATGATGGCCGCGTCTTTTGAAGCTGGATAGTTGTGTTATTTGTTTCCTTTTTTGTGTGTTTAAATAATTTAGTTTCTCGTGTTGTGTGCGTGCGTGCGTGTTTGTGTTTTAATGAATTACAAAGCTATATTAGAATAAAGTCAATCCTGTTAAAGGGCCATAATTAGTTTTCTATAATGTGCCCTTCTCCATTCTAACTTTCTTTATTATTTTTTAAAAAGGAACACGTAGTTTAATCAACCTTGTACTAACTGATATTGTACAACTAATGTATTATCTATAGGATGGAGTAAACAAAGATCTTGAGTTTTCCATTTCTTATACTCTTGTAGTAATAATGTAAACGTAGAAGACGAGGATGGCAACACAGCGCTTCACGTGGCCTCTCTCTCTAGTAAAACGGAATGTATGAGGGTCTTGATAAGAGCTGGCGGCACAGAAAGCCTTGGTGTAGGTAAGTTCAATTAAGGTCCATATTTCTTATCAGTTTTATTTTACTATTTGTCTTTATCAAAAGAGTCAGCGTCTGGCTTCTCAGCCGTTTCCTGGCCTGAACAGTTATCAGCGTGCTACATTGACAACAACCACATGTTCTCATTTCACTGACAGCGTTTTCATTATTCTGCGCGCCCGACAACACCTCACCTCTAACCTCTGTAGCCAATTACGCCAGCCGCTTGTGTTCCATCCTTAGCAAGTGCTACCAGATAGTTTGCTCTCTACCAATTCCTTTTTGTCTGTCTTTGACACCCGCTGGCAACGGTGGCAACGGCTCCATCTTTTCGCACGGTCCACACCACACTTTTTTTTTCCCGCGCTTAATACCAACCCTACTTTTCCCGCCAGTGGCAGCATCCCATGCTTTCTTGCGCGTGCTCATGAGAAACTTGCTTGTTTTATTTTCCCACGCGTTTTCGGCACACGTATTTGCATTTTGGTTGGTTCGTAGTTCTACTTTTATTGCTATTGTCCTTTTTGATGTCTTAGTTTCCACTTTCCAAATTTGCCTAAATACACCGTATTGTTTACATTTTTGGCAGAAAATAAAGAAGGGAAAACACCCATGGACATTGCTAAAGGGACAGGGCACGCAGAGTCTATTGAACTGGTAAGTTGGAGAGGATTTTTATTAGCGAGTGGTCATAAGTTGTAATTCAGCTTTACTCAAGACCATCATAGGCGTTCCCCCTTGAGAGCTGAACCCGCGAGCCTTTCGTATAACGCATTTACTAAATTAATGCACCTACTTGCTGCATTGAATTACGGTGCCTACGTAAACCTCGTAAGCCTCGTACAAGCGGACGCAACCATGTTGGCCAGGCAACTTCCAACATTGTTGGGAGTTGTTGCGTCCTTTTACACGTAGCTTAAAGTTTGATCGGCTTCAACCTTTGCATCTCCCAACAACACGAAACAACATGCAACAGGGTGTGCAAACGGACGCAGCATGTTGCGTCCGTTTGCACGGGGCTTCATATTTAAAACACGTCGAATTTACCTAGGGGTTCGACTGTAGGTGCTAATAATCCTGTCCTTTTTTATTTTTCAGTTAAAACAGAGTGCTTCAGATAAACTGGGACATTGTGAGAATGTCAAGATAGACTGGGGTCTGAACGAAGTAAGAGTTTTTCATGAAGTATTCAAAGAACAGAACTAGAGAAAAATGAAAATTTCATGGAATGAATAGGCCACTTTCGAGTTCCAAAAATTCTTGCTTTCATAGCGAGGCTAAGTGCATAAACTCTCTTGTGAAAATGAGTTTTATTTGCATGAGTATGAAAAATTCATCTTCATATTTGCCTCAGTGGTTTTGCACTTAGCTTCGCTTTGAAACAAGAGGCTTCGGGCAACCTGGAAATGGCCTGTCAGCGCGTTACCTTAGTTGGTGGCTTTTTGAGGAGTACTGAGCACCTATTACGGTGATTAATTGCGATTTCTTTGTTTTTCAGGCTGATGGAATTTACGATAATCCCTTAGATTTAATGGATATCAAACCTGAATTTAGTGACGAGGAGACTTTGAATGACTCAAACACTGAGCCAAAGGTAAAAAGTGAAGCACTTTTATCAGATACGAGGTGCTAGAAAGGCTACAGACCCTTGACGCATGACATCACGTCTGCAATGTTGGTGGCCATTTTGGTGTCCCAAACCAGTCCTGTGGGAGTTGAACTCTTTTGATACACTAAACACCCGCATATAAGAACACACGATTTCGAAGGTCAGGCTGATTGAGTTCTTATTTATCGGATGCTTAATGACAAATCAGCCTCAAAATGTTCTCTAAATGTTCTTAAATTTTTCTTTGGTAATACTATCCAAAACATGTTGCTAGAGGTATATTTAGCATATTTTAGGAAAATAAAATAAATAATTATTCTGTAATTTGATTATATTAACAAATGAAGTTATCTGACAGCAAACATAAATTTACATGTTTTGTAATTACGACACTTTTACCATTTTATAGGAACGTGTTACAATTTTCAGGCTGATCTTGTCCTTATAAAAATGGTGCTTTATTGGCCAAATTTCAGCCTGGTGTTCTTAATCCATTTGTTCTTATATGCTGGTGTTCACTGTATTTAAACGCATTCTTTTGTTCCAATTAATTGACATAGCTGCTGGTTACGTGACTTAAAACAGGTTTATATCCGTATAGATCGTTTTCACTCACGTGGTCTGCAACTTTGTAAATTTCTTGTAACAAAAGAAAATTTTACATGAGAAAATAGTTCAATACCTGCAGGACCCATATGGTAAACCAACGTGGCCACCGTTTCATTGTTATTTTTTTACACAAATATGGCCGCCGTGACGTCATGTGAAAACGATCTTTAGTGGAACGTGGATTTAACGAACTTCTATATGCCGAAATCCTCGGTATAAACGAGCGATATTCTTCAGCCCAGTAACGGTGAAATATATGGAAAAAACCTCGCTATAACGAAACCTCGTTATAGCGAACATATTGTGCGAGTCCCTTTGGCCAATCCGCAAGGAATTCTTTCAGTGAAAAATTTTCAATAGATCCACTTTATGTTCATGCAGATGTTTTGGTAACAAGCGATTTTTTTATTTTATCAGGTTCAGTCCAGTCCTCCCACTCCTCCGCGCCATCGGCGTCACTTACCAACCCGACCTGTCAGTCAAATGATCCTGCCGGGGACGGGGTTCTTGAAAGGAATTCCGGGGCATCCAGGAATGAGCCCCCTGGTATCAGGTCTTTCACTCGACACACCTTCGAAAGATAAACTTTCCGGGGGTTCGCCTCTCGTAAGACGGAGGGCACCCGTTCCCCCTTCAGGAGAAACAGTCGCTGTTAATGTGCGAGCGAGTATGTTCGTTCCCTCAACAAACCCGGAGAGCGCGTTTAATTCTATGGCAAGTACCTTTGGTCACGGACCTAAAACGAAAACGTAAGTTTTTTTAGAAGTGGAGCATTCAATGAAGGAACGTTTTTGCTCGGTTAAAGGTGTTATGTTTAAAGATTGAAACAGTTAGCCACTGTCGATACTTCAGTCAGGTTTTTTTTCATAGGAAGACCAAATCATCGTTATCAGGAGCTCATAACCAGCAGTGAACAAAAGCCATTTCCGAGTTCCAAAAACTCTCACTTTCTAAATGGGGCTAACTGCAAAACCTTTCTTATGAAAGTCAGATTTATTTGCATGACAATGAAAAAACCATTTTCATATCAACCTCACTCAGCCTCGCTTTGAAACAGAGGCTTGAAGTAACTGGGAAACGGTCTATTCTACTGTATTCATGTCACACAGTTTTCACCGACCAGTCTATTTCTTGATCGATTTTGTCGCGAATTTAAAATAACGTACCAGTCAGCCAAAAAAGGTCGGAAAATGACTTTATTAACGTTTTAAAGGCCTTTAGTTTTTCATATACCGTATTTATTCGAATAAGCGCCCAACCTCGAATTAGCGCCCACCCCCACCCCACCCCATCCCACATCCCTCCCACTCCCACTCAAACTCAAATAAGCGCCCACTCCCTTCCCACTACCACCCAAAAAAAGGAATAAGTACTAATTTGAGACTTCCCCGAAGACGGAGTTTTCTTAAGAGTGTTTTGCAGAAACGTTGCTTTGTTACATCTTCGCGTTTTGTTATTACCATTTACTGCTTTCTTGCAAAATATACATACTACACTTGTTGAAAATGGTGAAAATTTAATAAGCGCCCAGCCTCGAATAAGCGCCCACCTCGAATAAGCGCCCACTCTCAAGGTCCAAAAATTTAATAAGCGCCCAGGGCGCTTAATCGAATAAATACGGTATTGCGCTACGCTGCCTAATCATATGTGTTGGAGTTTTCATTTTTTAGGTGTTCTAAAATTGTGTTAAATATACTGGGAAAGGCCAGAAGAATATGCTTAGTGCGGAAGTTGCTTGCTCCCGAAAGTGGCCACCTGTCACAAATTCCCTTTATAAAGTAAACCTCTTACAACTTACTCTGTTTTTATTTTCAGTGCTGATGATGCAGGTGATTTATCCGATTCCCCACCCCCTGTTCCCCCAGTCCGCTGCTCCTCTGTCAGTCGAGAGCGAGATAAACGTTTCGGCGTCGATATCCCCCTTCCCCCTCTACCTGCCAAGCCAAAGTTCGACGATACAGGGTCAGCCGTCAAAGCTTCTCCCCCGGAACTCCGAACGCGGCCTTCCCCTGAGGTTGTCAGTCGGCGAGCTCCACCTATTCCTCCCGCCCCTAAGAGAATAGGGGACACAAAGCCCGCCGCTCCCCCGCTTCCCATGCACCGGAGGTCAAAATCCGAAGGAAGATCCCCCTTTGGTGAGGAAATCGCGTCTGGTCCGGGATCAGTTCTGAAGCTTCCTGTGGAGAAAAAGCTTTCCGATCCTGCAGACGCTGAAGGCAGAGACGTAACAGATAATCTTCCCCTACCTCCTCCGAGGCCCATTAAACATGGGTCAGTCCGAGTGACGTCATCTCCTTCACTTGTAGCCAAAGAAGATTTAACACCAAGGTCAGCAGTGAATTATTAAGTGATACTGTACTTGATATTTAATTTCGCTTGTCGTATTTTGAGCGGCGCTAAAAAATTCGATCACATAACTCCTTTGCTAAAAGACTTGCGCTGGCTACCAATCAGGCAACAACTTTATTTTCGTTTTGCTGTTCTGGTTTTTAAGTGCATGACGAGTTGTGCTCCGGAGTATTTGACATCAAAGCTCGTTGGAAGATCCGCCGTCTCGACAAGGAATACGAGAAATTCTCAACTTTTGAACATACCACTCTTCCGCACTGCCAGCGGCCAAAGGACCTTTCAATATAGAGCAACCTCTCTCTGGAATGAGTTGCAGCCTGCGCTCAAACTTAGCCCATCCGTGACGGAATTCAAGTGTTTACTCAGGCAAAAGCTTCTTAATGACTGCTTTATTTAATTAATTTAATTAATTTTATTGACCTTTGTCTTCTTTTATCATTGTTATATTCTTATTGTCATGTACTTGGTTTATAATTTTGTAATGTAAAATTGACTCTGAAAAGCCCCGTGGGGACGAGCCAATAAAGTATGTATGTATGTATGTATATTTATTCACTGAATTGTCTTCTGTTATTGAATTGTGTGTGTTTTGCCGGCAGGTTCGCCACTCTACCTCGCCCTCCTCCACCTCGACGATCGGGATCAGAATTATCCAGCAAAACGCCGTTCTTTGGTAGGTAGACAAATGAGTTTAAATTCCCCCTTAAGCATGTGTGCTTTAGAGCACTCGTTGCATTAGTCACGCCGTTATGAAATGCGGAAATTAAGTCCTTTAACCGGATTATTTTGACAGACAAAAAGCGACCTCTAACGGCCACTAGACACAAAAGCGAATCCATATGGAATAAACCATAACGAGCGGTGGAAGGCATGCTCAACAGGGCCAAGCGCAGACAGACCTTTGCTGTCGTCACGCGTTGAAGATAGTAATTTATGTGAAGCTTGGTAGAGCGTGCTAGGGAGGGAATAAGCGCGGGAAAATCGTGAAATTTCTGCCAAGCGCAGGAAAATAGACTGACAACCGGTGCTTTTTGCCGCGAAACTTGAAATAAGTGGGATAGAGTAGTGCGTTAAACGCTAGTACACGTGCTTATGGTGGTGGTGGGTGTGAATCTTTTGTCAAGCTTTTTAAGCATTTTGGCTGTATTGGATCATATTCATTCACTTGGTCAGCAGGTGTCGTATTGCTTGGAACAAAGAAAGTTTTCCTTGAGTAAAACAGAAGTGTTCAATCCCACAGGATTTTTTTGGTACACCAACATGGCCACTGTTTCAATGTTTTGAACACCAATATGGCAGCCTTGACGTCATGTCAAAACGTTCTATACTTCGTGATATCTTGAATTTAGCTGGTATGACTCTAAGACCTCTAATTTTGGAGCTCAACAAAAACAAAACCGAAATTGCTTAATCCATATTTATTGAATTCTTATGGAAATATACACTCACGTGATGTTTTATATTTGTATTGTGGTAAACACAGAAAGCGAAAATAGTAATCAAGGTCAAATACCCGCTGAAGAAAAAGAAAGCGTCACCGTTCCAGAGAGTCCCATTCCAGATCTTCCGCCAAGATCACACAGAACCGTGTCGGTGAGTATCGTGGTGTAGTTTTTGTACAATACTCTTTTAGGTTGTCTGGTCATTACAAGGTTTCCTGAACCACAGGACCCAGAGGAGTTCAGTTTGTCATTGGAACATCCAAAACTGTATTAAAAACCATACACAACAGCTATTCCAACATTTCCGTTACGCAACATATGCACCTATTTCAATTAAGGTTGCTTCCGCGAAACATAGTACATGATGCAAACTTGTTAAAAATTTTCGATTTTTGCATATTACCACAGAGAAAAACCTAAACTCAAATCACTGTCTTAAAAAGCCTAGGATTCAGTGTTTTGAAATAGTTTGTGTTAACGTTCTACTCACACAGCGTAGTAGCGTCTGCAACGTTTGCTGCATTCTAGGTTTGTAGGCTCGTCGTGGGCACATAATTTACTAAACTTGCTCCCATAATGCACCGCGGGCCATGAAACATGAAACATGCCACGCCGAAACAACCTTGATAGCCCACCTTCGATATATTTATAAATTCTAATATGATTTTGAGGCTTTCTGGTCATTTTTCTAAATTTCGTTTGGCCTTCTTTGCGCTCAAGTCTCCTCTGGGAATTGCGAGACAATGGAGTCGTGAAAAAATTGCAATTTTTGTCCCTAAAGCCTCGGAGTCGTATTAGAATTTTATTATATCGAACGTGGGCTATTTAAATTGGTGTATACGCGCAAGATTGGCTTCGGGTAACGGTATTGCCTCCCACAAAGAAATGGCTTTTGGTTAAATTTATATTCAAAACGGCAGTTTGTTTTGATAGGAGATCTGTTTGAAATGCATCGATTAAGATCCTATTGGGCTTATTATTTGGGTTTATCAACGATGATTTATATTTTACCCCGTGAGACGTTAATAATGTGTTCATATGTTCCAACTGAACTCCTCTGGACCCTGTGCCTCCACTAACGGAGGCCCTGGGCCGGGTTGTTCCAAGCTGAGATAAGCGCAAAATCTTTGTTCAGATATGGAGGCTTAAAGGGTAAATTCAAGTAAATTCTACCCTAAAAATGTCCAAAAGTGGAAAATAATCTTGGCTCTGCTTAAATGCGATAAGCTTCTCCAGGCAAAGGGCTTCGAGCGCGTAGGTGAGTGTGTATTTTTGCGATACAAACTGTCGGCTGTCATATGTAAACTTCAAGGATCACATTATTCTTTCCTGTTGTCTGTTTAGACTCCTTCGGGCCTTCCGCAACGAGTGCAAGCACTATATGACTGTGAAGCCGACAATGACGACGAACTCACCTTCATGGAAGGAGACATAATATTGGTCAAGGGGGAGGGGGAGGATGCCGAGTGGTGGGTAAGTATCAGTTGTTCAGATATCCTGCATTGCAGGCGTTTTCTCCCGCCATGTTTCCTTTACAGTAACACCAGATGATATTAAAGATCGAAAGACTACCGTTTCAGTAAGCGTTTCGATCCTCAGGGATAACATAATTGTCAATTAGCTCATGCATGTTACGCGTCCTCGTGGTATTTAATTACGTAGCCTGGGACCAAGCTCCGCATTGGGGGAAAAAGGGGAAAAAAATTTGCGTGGCCAAAAAAAAAAAAAAATTGCGGTGACCAAACCGAGCCAGGGGGTAGTCTGGGGAGGAAAAGAGTGGCGGGGTCTCTGCTGCACTTTCCTTCTTCCCAGGCCACCGCTAAGACCCCGTTTTTTTACCTTTTTCCTCCCCTGCGGAGCCTGGTCTAAGGCTATGAAAGACGTTGCTGATACAGTTGCTTTATACACAATGAGCCATTTGAAGTCACATGGTATAAAAACACCTCGCTATAGAGTTAACGACTCGGTGAAATCTTGAAGGAAAGGAAATGAACTTTTCAAATGATGTACTGTGAATCCTCGTTTAAGCCCCCCCGGTGGCTTGTTTCTTTCAAGTTCGTTTGAGGGGAGGAGGCTTTATAGAGAGGAAGGGGGCTTAATTTAATGAAATGGGGCACCATACTGCTTTTTCAAACAACCAGAAGATGGTATCAGTTCTCCTAAAAGAACTACAATAGGACGCGAAGTGGAAATGCTCAAGCACGTAACGTTAGAGATCTTGCAGCCAATGATCCGAACTTCCAGCATATGAATAAACTATACCGGATCAGTCTATCTTTTGTTAATTTGGTAGTGAAGAATCAACCTCGTTCCCAGGGTTCTCTCCTACTTGTTTCCATGGATAGGAGAGAGAACCTGGGAACGGGGTCTGTGAAGAATAAGGAGGAAGTGGCGGTTAAAAGAGAGGAGGGAGGGGAGGCTTGATAGCTTTCTTTCCCTGGAAAGAGGAGAAGAGCTTTTTAGAGAAAGAGAGGGCTTATTTGTGAGAGGGGCACAATAGAGGACCCACTGCGTTCCATACAAGCTGTTATCCCACGTGACTGTTAAGCTGCCAAGTGCCCATTGTGATCGAAGATTATTCTTTGTTTTCTTCGTAGCTGGGGGAGATTGAAGGGCATCCAGGAAAAACAGGAGTTTTTCCAGCAAGCTTTGTCAGGGTTCTCTCCCATTGATGTCTATAAAGCATAGAAGAGAGTCACAAATCTTCCACATAAATCCTTTGTCTTCTCATGTGGTCACGCATCAATAGTCACGCAACCATTATCACGCAAACTCGTGACGTCTTCTTCGCGATTTTCAAAGGCAACAGAAAAAACCTGCATTTCGTGCAGTTGTGAGCTATTTTTCTAAACTTCATACTTTCACCAGATTGTTTAAAGCTGCAAAACAAGAAAATTCTTATTTTTTTTATTTCAACATACTTTTTTTAATAATAAGCTTATTATATCCGCAACTTTTCTCTACTTAACAGAGATGAAATTTGACCTGGTGGTATTTTTACATTTTAAAATCATATTTATCTCAAGAACGCCTTTTTATCAAATAATTTTGGTGCTTCTGTCCCTAATCAAACAAAATTATAATTGCATCAGTAAATCCGTTTTCTTGATTTTGTCGAAAAGATTTAGAACTTTAATTTATTTGTAAATTGAAGAGTTTAAGAAATTGGTAGGTTTTAAAGGGAATCTATGCCATTGTTTCTGTGGCAAATAAGTTACCTTTCGCTTGGGATATGTTTGGGCGTATTTTAGTTTCAGTTAGGTTTTATTTGTACAAAAGTAGAGAGTGAAAGTTTTAGCAAAAAGAGTGAAAGTTGTAGAAGAAAGATTTTGAATGTTCCAGCCCAAAATTGTTAAGTGGGGTGAATTATTTGGGGAAGATTAATTTCGAGGAGGAAATCTTAAGTGAAACCATTTAACAAGTAGACTGTAGCTTGGAATTGACTGAGACGATTAAGTACAACAAGCACAACGAAAAAAACCAAAAAGAACATTGTGAAAACCAAACTGCAAAATCTAGCACTAAGTAGATTTCTCCTTTATTAACTCAAAGTGCTGAATTTGGAGATTCTTTTTTCCTTTTTTAAATGGCTTGAAAATCTATTTTTCTGAGATACAAGCTAGAGAGTTTCATCAAGAGTCTATTCCAAGCTCTGAAAAGCTGAACCTTCGCAAACGGTCCCATCCCATAATCGAGATACTTCGAGTCATGGCCTAGCGACCTAACAAAAACTGCAATCTTCACCTCCTGTAAGCCAACCTCTTGAGCTGGGGTGTTCGCATTCTAAAGGTTTTACTGTAATTAATTAAAAAAGGTCGAAAAATACTCGGCAGGACCTCGTTTTTCAGTGTTTCGATACCAGATGAAACACTCTCCCTCGTGTTCGTTATGTCATCGAAGGCTTAAGTCACGAGCATGACTAGTCTTGTGCCAAATCTTTTGGCCTTGCCCCAGCGAAGAAATACCGCTCGAAACACCCATTTGTGAAAATTCTCACAAAGCTGATTGAAAGCTTTAATTTGATGGTCGAATAGGGCCAATCTACTTCATCATCTCAGTTGATTCCAAACAGACAGGGCCACGGCTTTCTCATAAGCTGACCACACAAGAATTGAAAGTTACCAAGCATTATTTTTCTATAAAGCCGTGATTCTTCCAATATTATTCAATGTTTTTTAGTCTGAATATTTTTAAACTTTGTTACTGTTAAAAGACCTCTTAAAAAGAATTCTGCTGTATGTTTCAGTGAAAAGTATAGGATAGGCCTATTTTTAAAAGTACTGACAATTCACTGTCGTCGAATTACGGAGCGTTGCAACGCGATCAGAGGAATTTTGTTCAAAAATTCGTTTAGTTTTCCAGAAATATTGGAATAAATGTACATTAGGAAAGAACTCGAAAAAAAAATACAAACTCCAACTCTAAAGACGTAGATCAGACAAATCACGTCATAGATATTGTGATTTTGTTAACAGAGGACCTTCGAAGCGACAACGAGGGATTTGAACAAAAAAAATGAAGTCGGGTTCTTCGTCGACAGTGCAATTTTAAGCTCAATTTGTAGATGATAAATTTTCGTTAAGAAACGTGCGTAATAGGCGTTTTCGTAGACGGCTACGTCTTTTGTCGCCAGCGTGTCCAAATTTCTACGCCCACTTAACAGTGTATTATGGTTATGGTTTGTTTTTCAAATCAACGTTAGTTAGAGTCTTCCAGTGGTTGATCCAAATGAAAGACATCTTGTAAAATTGTGATAATTTTAAATTCCTTTACAGGAAATAGATGTTTCATAAAAGTAAAACTGCTATTTCTGTAACATAATTTGCTCAAAAAATGAGTTTGAATCTTAGAAAGTTACAATATTTGCAAAAAGATGTATTTTTATAAATTAAAAATATATATATTAACAAGATGGGTCACGCGACTCTATTTTCTATTTTTATGGCCAAAGTTAAGATAATCTACCACTTTTCAGCATGCAAGCGAGTCCTCGAGGACACTTGTAAAGAAAATGATTTGCATATGTGTAATAAGTTATTTTCGCTTGTCCTCCAGGACTCGCTTATCCTGCGTGGCAGGCGGCGGTTTTTTAGGGCGAAGGAAGAAATTTCGAGGACACGCGAGGGGAGAAAAGGAGAGGAGACCCCCTCCACCCTTTGCGTGTTCCTCTCGCGCGGCCTGCACGCTAGGACTCAGTACCTGGTCCGTAGCATGGGTCGTGACGTCATCGAAACCGCTCCTTCGCTCGGGCAGCGAGGGCCTGGACCGGCTTGACTGAGGGTTTAAAATTGAAGGCAAGGCTGATTGGACAGCTAAGGTTTACAAATTTATTTGCCCAATATTTCGGCTAGACATAACTAGTCTTCATCAGGAGCTAGAAAAGCTAAGGTGAGAATAGAATAAACGGTTACAGTATACAAAATAATACAGAAATAAAAATAATAAAATGTGATCGGTAGAGGAATACAATAGACAAAGACTTGAATAAAGAGGTCACATGAAAATATATGTCAATCGATTAAATTTTATCTCGTTTTATTGGCACATGTTTTTATGTAACCTCTTTATACAAGTTTTTGTGTATTGTATTGCTCCACCAATCACATTTTATTTTTTATTTTTGTATTATTTTAAAAACTGTAACCGTTTATTCTATTCTCATTTAGATTTTCTACCCCTGATGATAACTAGTTTTGTCTAGTCGAAATATTGGGCAAATAAATTTGTAAACCTTAGCTGTCCGATCAGGCTTGCCTTCAATTTAAAGTGTTATTTTGTTGTATTGCTGATCCTGATCTACGACAAGATCTGGCTTTCCCTCGCCGCTGTTTGTCCAAGTGGTCCTTACAAGAATTGTGGGCTGAGGGTGCAGGCCATTTGGACTATGTAATGAAGTTATTTTGCTACAATTTCTTAACTGCCTCAAGAATTTTACACTGGCACGTACGATGAATACAATGATACGATGATCTAACCTTCAACTGTTATCTCGGATGTTATCTCGAACAATATCAAATTTAACATTACAGTATAATAAAAAACTCAGTTTCGTATTTATATTCATATTTAATTCATATTCCTGGTAATAATAACACAAAAGCAAATTTGCTAATACCAGTATAAATTATATTTTCAAGGAAGTACATACTATTTTACATAGTGACAATACAGACCTAATACTAAGACCAAACCCTTCCGCCTGAAGAGCTTCAAGCTCGGAAGAGTAAATGAAATTAGAGGTTTCCAAGAGCATCTTCACAGCGGCCCCTCTAGAGTAAATTGAGGCGAGTCATCCTACGATTCGCGAATCGTAATCTAAATACAAATATCTAATCTAATCTACAAAAAAAATTACAGCTTAATATATGACGATATTAAATTAAGTTGAGTATCTGAAGTAAAGCTTTCGAAGCTAGAGTGAATCACTTTTAGAAACAGTTTAGAAACACTGGGTTGTCGATCCAGCAAGAAATTCTGCAAGACGGCTGTAGGGAAATTCGTGGCACCTAATAATTAAAAAAATCACCTTTCTACCTATTTTTTTAGGAAGAATATGTTAAGCACTAATTGAAGAATTGTCCATTGAATATCTAACTGTGATGGATAAATCCATCCACTGAATATATATCAATTCGCGTCGTCGACGTTAGTCGTTGGCGTACGCTGTGTGTCACGAATGCTGGAGATTCTGTGAATTCTTCTTCGAGTTCTACGGTAACGCATCCACAACGCATTTGCTAATACTAACAGTATTAGAACCACAAACCACTGTAAAACAAGAGAAAAGAAAGGCATGCTGTTTTGAGGTTGCGTGTGATTTTGGTCGGTGTTTCGTCGAATTGTACTGTGGGTTCCCAGTTTCTTGCGCAACCTTGTAATAGCGACAATTCCCCTAGAATACTCCCACAATGCAAAAGGACACGACACCGATCCAGTGGCGCGCGCATCCTCAAGCTACACAATAGACATCACTATGAGTATCAGTCATGGAATTGCACTGTGGAACTATTTTGGGGAAAATTTTCCCAGTTTCTTAGCGTGCGCAACCTGGTAATGACGACAATGCCCCTAGAATAGTCCTACAATGCAATTGGTCAGGACACCGATTAAGTGGCGCGCGCATCCTCAAGCTACACAATAGACATCACTACGAGTCTCATTCATGGAATTGCACTGTGGGACTATTTTGGAGAAAATTTTCCCAGTTTCTTAGCTTGCGCAACCTGGTAATGACGACAATGCCCCTAGAATAGTCCTACAATGCAATTGGACAGGACACCGATTAAGTGGCGCGCGTATCCTCAAGCTGGATAATAGACACCACTATGAGTCTCATTCATGGAATTACACTGTGGGACTGTTTTGGGGAAAAATTTTGACCCAGTGTCTTGCGCAACCTTTCAGAACAGTCACATCGTTCATTTGGACACAAAACCGATCCAGTTGAGCTCGCAACCTCAAATTGGACAAAACCCATACCCGCAGGAATGGCCGGTCATTGCTCTCTTTTCCAGACATCACAAACTGCGCAATACTTGTCAAGACACTAACTTTGGAATAGCCGCATTTTTGGGTTTGAAAACCGTGTGCTTACCACATGTGTAGTCTCATCTCGCCGTCACACTGGGTGAAGTAAAAAATATAAGTATTTTTGCCAGCCAATCAGATTCAAAATTTGTTATAATTTCAATTCCATAACGATAAAACGCAATGTGTTGTGGTATCAAGTTATATTTTAAACACGTCTCAGACAATTTACAGTAAAACGTCCAACTGGGCACTAAAGCATAGACACAGTAAACCCAAGCCCACAGTAACACCACTTATCGACTTACCTCGACAAGACATGACATAAGAGATTCTCTTCCAAACTCGTACCACTTCTTTTTCTCATCCTTCACAGTGTCAATGACAAATGACACTAATAGTGCTAGTGCAACTGTAGGATCGACAAAACTGAAAACAGTGGTTAAAGGAAAATCGCTATAAAGACATGAATGACCTGATTTTTGGATTGTTCACGATATTGGCGTCACAATTTTGTTCCTCAGTTTTTAAAGCACCTTTGTATTGTTTCAAACAGGTTATCATTTTCAATAAACCTAGAGAAGGTCTCTGAGGAAGAATAGGAAGCCACAATTAAAAATAATGACCTACTGTTTCACTTTATTGAATATAGGCTTTTAAAATGACGGCAACAACAACAAAAACGAAGGTGCTTTCACTGGGTTCATATATTTGTATGTGGTTCATTTTTTTGCATGGTGTTACCATTCAAATGAAACATCTTCTGCAGTACCTTTAAATAGTACTATGTATTTAATTGTTAGTTTTTATGCAAGTGGGGGGAAGGGGCAAGGGGGGTAAAAGAAGTGTATTTTAGACGATGTGGAAGTGTTGAAGGGCTCATCTTTACATTGCCAAGGATCCCACAAGAGATCCAAAAATATGGCGTCTACAGTTCACCTTCAGCGAGCATTCCATGGTGCCATAGTGGCATAAACATTAACGTTAGACCCGTTTTAAACGTCGCGTTTCACTTATGCCAAATCTGATGTAAATGAGCGACACTAAACGCTATATTTTCCTTATTACCATAAAATTCGGCACGTGTGGAATGTGACGTTTGAAATGAGCCTTTGTTTTTCAAAGTCGTAGTATTTAGGATTAGTTGTCTGTATACGCGCTAAGTAGAGCAACGTCGACTGATTACCAGTGAACACGATTTTTTACATCAGGCAGTTTATACGGCAGTGTTTAAACTGAAACGTCAGAAAACTATTCGGAAACGGTTGTTATGGTTGAAGAAAACGAGCCAGGAACGGCAATTTCAATTTCCATACAGAGGATCGTTTCACCTACATAATTAGAGATGAAAGCTGTGGACGAGGTATTTGCTACTATCAGACACAAACGCTGCAAAATACAACAAGAAGTTAACTGGTCCTTGAGGCTGTGAGTTGATGGTGATTGCATGGATAAAAGAGCGCAACTTGGAATTAAAGCAAAGCTCAGGTTTGGAATCTTTAAAAATGCTTTTGGAAATCTTTAATATTTCCCTCTAAATAAGGAAGTTTGTCTATACGAAGTCAGGACTAAGAAAATCCCGTTTCATATTGAGTTGTAACGTCGTGTTTAACAATACTTGAACGAAAAATTATTCGTAAACAATAAATTGTGTGTCAGGATAATATATGCAAGGATATGACTAATTCCTCTGGGATATTGACACATAGCCCCTTGTATTTTATTAGCGGTTCATTAGCAGTTCCCTTCAAAGAAGCAACCGGTTTTTCAGACCTTTGATTTACAGTAGGGGTTATGTGATAGGTTGTAAACGTTTTGCCTACTCTTTCCTACTTGCTTACTTCCCATTTCAACCTTGACAGTTTCCAACGTCCATTTCCCGGCGACGTTTCTCGAGAAATCTCGCGCGAGAGACCGAAAAAAAAAAGATAAAAAAAAAAAGAATTTGCCACCATTATGTCATTATACGGTCTTCTTTCTTCGGGAGGAAGAGAGAGGACCTGGGAACGAAGTTGGTCTGCACCCTCACAGATCACAGCTACCGACCAATCAGCGCGCAAGATTTCGCTCAGTATTTGTAACAAGGGTCATGTTTTTATGTCGTTGAGACCATAGACCATGGAGGATGAGTCTATTTGTGGAGGTTTGACTGTACGGTCCATTATAAAAAGCAATGATTGGAAAAATTTAAGTAGCATGAACCTTATTTAGCAAAGGGCAAAGTTGGTTAAATGATCTCACGTACTTTATAACGTACACCCAGATCTTTGGCAGTTTCCAGTCCTCTAATCCAAACTGAATTTTAAAAAAGCAGTACATTACAGTGAGAATACATTAACATAATTGAAAAAGTTATCCTGAATTAATGTTCAAACTTCAAGCTGTGTGCTAAATTCTGGAAGCTGGTAAGCTACTTAGAGTGGGCAAATAGTGTAAAACACGCGATCTTCATGAAGATAAAGAATGCGTGCAGGGGATGAAGGGAAAGAGAAAAAAGAGCGAGCCTTTCTCCTTTTCTCTCTTTCTCCATCGTCCCCCCCCCCCCCGCCCCACCCCGCGCGTACTAGTTTATCTGCAGGGGGAGCCTCTACTGATCAGCGTGGCAATTAAAAAGTTTGATTATTCTCAAATCCTAGAATTACTACCAAACATCCATACCTGGTTTACTATTTCATTACGAAACTTCGACGCGCCATAACGGATCGGTAAAGATATGGTGACTACTCCAGCCAATACCTGGCCAAACGCCCAGACAAAGTCCTGGAAGAAACAAATACGGCAAAAGCCCCTTTCTAAACTGTAATTACAATGTTTTGTATTCTCCATTTATCAAAACTACTTTTGCCTACAACTCCAATGTTTTTTCCTGTGTTCAAGTTGTTGCGGTTGCGAGATAGTTAGTTGTAAGTGTAAAATGATAACACGTGCTCAAAGCCAAGTGAAAATGTTTTATGACATCCATTTGTCTAGCAAAAATATTTTTAATTCCCATCCTTTCTCGACAAAAAACAATTTCGGATGACGTCACTGGTCAATAAAGGGCTTCGCTCTTTTTGCGCTAAAAGGTTCCAGGTTCATCTTTTTCGCACTATTTGTTTACACCGCATTAAAGGTTCTCTACTGAAGGTGAAATCTGTTCAAAATAATATAACACAGCGAATACAGACTGGGGTGAGCCACCTTTGCACTCACACCCGACGATGACGACGTATTTTGGTCCGACTGTTACTGAGATGTTACGTGTATAAGGTCATGTCGACACTATACAAGGAATGAGGTATAAGGTCATGTTCACACTTTGTCGTGTCGACAAAGTGTGAACAGCAACGGCACCGAACTGGAACAAGTCGCTCACACACATCGAACATTGTACCGGAGCAGTTGATCGAGAGGGTTTGGGTCTTCCCAGTCCCAATCCATACTCCTGAACATTTACTTTCGTCTCAGTGGATTCCAGTCCTCTTTTTCTGCTTATTCACTTCCGCTATGGTCCAAATACCAGTTCGCACTACACCAAATTGTGGCACAGAACCTAATCCGGCATGTTACGCTCAGCTTTGGCACAGCTTCCCTCCGTTACAGAAATAGCGCCGAAATCACCGTTCTTATGTTGTGAACAGAAGTCCTATCCGGTATGGGTTTCGTGCTGGTGCAAAAGCTATGGGATATAGTGTGAATATTACCTAACATGTCGTTGCTACAGACCTGATTAACTAAGAAATCCAAATTCAGCGCTGAGGGTATACCGAGACAGAACATTCCTACAGACACCAGAGGTAAAGCAAACTTCCTGGGAACTGTTGAAGCACGTAGAATAATAAAAGAAACAGTTAGCGTTTATCGAAACCTCAAAAAAAAAAAAAAAAAAACCGGCCCCTCTGACTGTGTTCTGTGACTGTGTTCTGTGAATGGCCCCAGGGACCAGTTGCATAAACAGTAACGTCACACTAAACGTAACTCGGTACAGCGGCCTTCCCTTGTTTGAGGGCAGGGGGCAGCCGTACAAACGCAGGCTCACATCCACGAGATTTGGCGCTGTTATTCTACGGCGCAGACACCCTAACCCGCCTGTATATACTATACTAATGGTCTAGACGATTCTTAGGCCGGCTGCAATGGGCTCCGGGGCAACCAGCCTCGTTCGTAGGCGTCCTCGGCGATTTCAGATGTGACGTCACATGTCAAGCTTGTCGGGAAAGTTCGCCGAGGACTATCGCACTCGGTTCCAAGCCTCCTCTGGTAACTCGGATAGCGCGAACTGGCCTGGGTATGAGGCTGCGGGGCCACCAGAAAAAGCCGGCGAAAACGGCGAGACGATTGAGGCGCCGTTAGCCGTTAGCTTTGCCTTTGCCGAACTCGCACGAATGAGCCTGCTCGCTGGTTAATGTCTCTTTTGTAACGCCAGACGGTAGCTGTTACGTATGACTTTTATGCAGCTGGGCCTTGGGCCGGCTCAGTCATATGATGGATTCATTTACGATCTGAAAGTTTCTAAAGAAATTTGGCAAACATTTAGCTTCAAGATAATTTTCAGCTGATTTTACTTTCGGTTCATGTCATTGCGATCTTAATACATGTTGGTCCCTTGTAAATTTCTTGTGTCTATTCAAAAGAGGATTATACTCCCTTGATCTTGTTACATTAGGAGGCAACGAAGCCGAATGGTCAGCGCGTCAGGCTCGGAATACGGCGGTCCTAGGTTCGAGTTTTGCTCCGACCACCACCTGGATTTGTTTCTCGGTCGCCCCGAGTTCAAATCCTTGGTCACGTTAGCAAATGACAACCTTGTTGTATCCTGCCATTTGGGGTTTTTGTTACCTGTTTAACGTTTGTAACCTTAAAACGTTAAAACGTTTGTAGTAGGGTCCTTGTAAACTGGCTAGACTAGCTAAAATTGTACTTCCACTGTAAACAAGACGTTTCTCATGGGGATCTAAGATTTACTCCTCGCGAGTAGTATCTTGTGCCAGGCTTCAGATAGAAGGGATGTCATGGAAACAACGCCAGGGGAAAATAGGACGCGCGTGATCTGTGCGGCGACGGGAAATGAAGCACGTTTTCTTATCAGTTTAGTCAATCTCTGTACATAACTATCTCGAAGCCTGAAACAGGCGACACGAGCAGTCGCCAAAAAGTCGCTAATACCTACTTCGCATTTCTTCAAGAGTGAGCACTGGTAACTCTAGCACAGCTATGAGTGAGCTAACACCAGCTAAGGCCAAACACAGGAAGAATAAACATGACAAGACACGACCTGGAACTCCCAGCTCTTTGTAAAGAACCGGCATCCTAGTGGAAGGAATACATGAAACCATTACAGAGCTGATACGGAAACTGCCAACAAAACAATACGTTTCCTAACTGTGGGTGACGCTCCCTTATTTGGACTTAACGGGTATGTGCGGCTGAATAGGGTGTGGTTTTGAGAGCCTGTTCCAAGGTGCTGGGTGCCTGTGCCAGGCTCTCGCTCGTGTGGACGAGCAAAAAAGCGAGCGAGAAGTGAAATCGCGAATGAGCGAAAAATGGCGGGAAGAGAGCAGAGGAGAGTCTGTAAGTATTTTCTCAAATACAATGTACCTCAATCTGCCCACTACTCCGTCCACGAGAAACTGTTTCTCGTGTCAAAATGTCAAATGTCAAAACGTCAAAAAGGGGCGGTATAGGAGAGTTTCACATAATCGACATGTCTGTTAGACTCTGCGCGCGTGACGCCAGATGATTGACATAAGTGTTGAAGTAAACTGTCACAATTTACCAACCATAAGGGTATACTAGGAGCTGGTATGCTGGAATGGGGTATGGAGAACAATGCTTACAGGCTCAATACTCCGTCCTTTCCAAGCGCCCACGTGGTTTTCGCGCAACGTTTCTCGATCCCTGGAACAGATCACTTGAGTCTTAAACAGGGTGTACGTTTTAGCGTCTTGAACAGGTTGTCTTTTTGGACCGAAAGCCTTTCAAAAGCTTGAAAGGATAGCGCGGAGAGGTCTGCATTTGTCATCTAACTTTTTATTATATAATTTTTTTTAAAAAAACTTCTTACCTCTGTATGCCAAACGAAACGAATTACAGTCCTAAAATAAGGTCTCTTGTATTAAACAGGGCAGCAAAATGAACGGTTTTTGTCTTAAACAGGGTCAGATTTTGAAGGCCTTAGAGGCACACCTCTTCCCAGACTTCCCTGGAGTGCCCCCCTGGTTTTCTCTGTCTGTTCGGCTCTTACAGCTTACCAAAGAAAAGTCAGCCCAGTATTAGCGTATCCATCATCTCTGAGCAAAGCTGCTATTTTGCTTTGACTTTGCCGTTCTCGTATTTTCGTGGAGAAGACGGTGCAATATAATGTTATAGCGCAAATTAAGCTAGAAAACAACAACATGAAAAAGACAAATCAATGTTTAGTCACAACTTTAATTCTACGGCTTCGAATGATAACAACAGCTTTACCACAAGGTGGATATATGCGGAGCTCACAGCCGATCCTAAGACCTTTTAACTATTATTTTCATTGAAGCGGAAAGAGTGACCGTTGAAAGGCAGTGTACAATGTTGCTTAAAAACGAGAGAAGAATGTCTCAAACTTCTATTAACCTTTTCGACGGTTAATTTCCCCTTTACTGCTCAACTTATTAACTCAACTAAATTGAAATATTTGCAGTAACCTTTGACACTGATTAACAGGTTCAATTTCAGGTTCAATTCAGATCCAATTTTGGCAGGGCCGCCGCAACTTCTGGCCCGTATAAACAGTTCCCTTTTGCCATACCAAAACATTACAATATCAACGCAAAAAGTGGGGCTTCGTTTGAATTTTTTTTTTTACCGGAAACAAGTATCATAACGTGAAATGCCCAGGGGAACTAATGTACAACGGTGAGGAAGGATCCCGAGGGGGTGGGGGTACTCTCTATGATGGCCTATACGGGGAGGTTCCGCCCGAAAGGGGTACTTTCTTCAGTCTTCAGGTTTAAGGAAGTTTAGGGGTTTCATTAGTTGAAGTATATGAAAGGATAGGGAAATCTATCGTTTCGGTCTGTAAAATGGCCCAAAAAGGCTATAAAAAGATGCATTTTATGGCTGTGAAAAAAGTGGAGCAAACGTTCTGGTTTAGTTAGTTATCCATATTTTAAAAACATTGCGTTTACAGGAGTTAAAAGGGATGCAATGTTCTACACTAGGTTTGTGAAAAGGGTACTAACTGTCAATAGAAGGTACAGGAAAGGGATACCTTTTCTCTCAAAAATGGTGCTTATGCCCCCCGCATAAATCATTTTTGAGTACCCCGAGGGGAGGGTGGAAGCGTAATACCAGCAGTTAAACAGCTTGTGTCTCAAAATCCACGAAACATTCTTGGTTCCGTCCCTGTGTTCAATCGCTCCTCACGATGTTAAGACGAGAAAAAATGTTTTCTTTACCTTATTAAGTTATTACATGTTGGGAGAATGGTTCCTATTTTGACCACGCTATTTCTTCTCGTCATAAATGTTGCATAGGTCAAGAATAACCCCGCTCCAGCGCCTAGCAGGATTAGAAAAACATCAAAGAAAGAAATTCAAAAATAAAAGGTTTTATTTAGTGCGGCCCTCGAAATACGCTCGTATTATTTCATACCTGTATCCCAAGCATTTTGAGAAGCTGCTTCGATCCACAATCTTAGGTTTTTTAGTTCACCTGAAGAATCATAACAACAGTGTTACTTACAAATAGACACGTCTTGATGCTGGAGTTATTACCCTGTAAAAGTTTCAGAGATTACACTTTTAGTGACGTCGTTACCGCGCCTGGTCGTACGTATACACTCTGAAAAAAATAACCAATGAAAAAATTCCAACTTCCGGGTTTCGTTCTCTGACATAAAACAAACATGGTTTCTCGGGTTTCCAAATTTGCTCCTTTTTCCTGTCCTATTGCGTCAAACTGTTCGTGTAAAGCTATTTTATAGTTTGGACCAAGTTCTAAACAAGTCACCAAGAACTTAGACAAGTTATTTTGAAAAACAGAAAGTCACTTGTGCATTTGCCCTTTTTGATCAAGTTTTTTGGTTCCATAGATTTTCATCGTGGTTTCACAAATTTAGCCGTCATCAAAGCGGAATTCTGAGGAAATAGTGCAGAAATTCTACACTGATGAAGTATCACTGCCGAGATATGGGAAGTGCATCTGATTGGTTGAAACAAATTTCTTCCACCGCACCACTAACCAGAAGCACAACCCAGACTGATCTGGGTAGTGACACGTCATCAGTATGGAATTTCTGTGCTTGTTCCTGGGACTTCTTTTCTTAGGGAAACCAGTGTTGGCATCAAGCTACTGCATTACAACTGTACTTACCCCAGTCAGGTGAAAAGAGAAAAGAGATTCCTTGAGATGCATATTCCAAAGTCAAGGACCAATAGAAAGACACTACCAATACAAGTAACAGAAGAGGGACAATGATGCTGTTCACACGTTCAATTGATGACACTGATCTTGTTAATGAAATACTGGTGATGAACAGAGTCAACAGGTGGAGCAGGACTGGAATGTATTGATGATGTTCCTTTAAAGAAAAAATTAGGTACGCAATGAATACATGTGACTTCCCAATCATTAAGTGAGCAGCTTCTAAAAGTACCCGAAATGCGACGTAATTGACCAATCAGATCAATAACCAGAGTATAATACCATCAACTGATGTGACACAACTCACTTTGACTCTGAAGATGACTACCGCACAGGTTGTCAAAACGTCAGCCACTGTCAACAACAACAGTCCTATTCAGGACTATGTTCACCCGGACTATCAAACTCAACCTACTTTTGAAATGACTCCTGCGTTCAAACCTTTCACACTATAATATTATTATAAACATCTAATTGATCGGCGCCTGCTTTGAATACCAACATGCTATATCCGAAACCAAAATTAATTTCAGAAGTTACCTGTAAGTCCTTCCAAATATCCCTACTCTCCTGTATTGAGTTTGGCAGATGATAGAAGATGGAGTGGAATAGATAATAAAAACACCACCCAACCACAACAGAGTAGTATGACCTAAAACAATTCAATTGATAATGTCTGGAATAAATAATCTTGAAAGACGACAATGATTGTCAAATACTACATGTATTTCCATTAGAGGAAACAGGATCAGCCTTCCAAAAGTCAGAACAGGCTGGCCGGACCTTGGCCAGGTCAGTCATTTTGAAAAGCAGGCTTTCTCCTAGAGTTTTTGCTGAAAAACCATCTCCTTTGTGCATACTATCATTTAGGATTTGACTGATCTGGCTAGATACAGATGTAGTTTTAATTTGAAACTCTCATTATGACTTTGAAATTGGACGGTTTTTCTGGAACAGAAATAGCCCAGAGTCTTACACAGGAATACCAACCTTGCTCCTTTGCTTTAATCTGCAGTTACCAAGATTCATATGCTTCTAGAAAGGAAGTAACCATGCAACTATCTGGGAGACTGATACTCACCCAATGAGAACAACAACAGCAACCATCCATCCCCCACACCACAATGACCGGGGTCCGACCAATGAACGGAAGGACTTCACAGGACCATGTCTTGTGTAACGACCAACAGAATACTCTATCAAAATCACTGGTATAGACCAGATTGCCAGGAATAATATCCATACTAAAAGGAACTGGAGTCCACCTACAGAAACAGTCAAACAACAGGCCCCAGTTGTTCAAATTTGAACAACCAGATTTTGATTCATTTTATGTTGCCTATTGGGGGACCTTCAAGCTCTTATTTTAATTAATTGGGTCTTGAAATTATTCAACCAAAGTCACAGATGTTTACAAAAGGGTCTCACTGTCTTGGTGAGGGACCAACATGCACACTGAGTCTGTTGTTTTTATGATCTTATTCTTGGTAATGACCCTTGTTCTTAAGAAGATGAGTGGTCCTACAGAAGTGAACGGTTTCATGTACAGATAATAAAATTACATGTATGTATTACTCACTTCAGAAAACTGTACATTTAAAGTTGGAATTCAAGAGCTCAATTTACAGTACATAGCCCACTCCCTACTACTAACCCACCATTTAACAAGGGGGGAGTAAATTAAAAGGTTGGAGGGTTCTACTCACTTTTCACAGACATTGGAAAAGTACAAATAAGGCATCACGGTAATTTCAAATCATTGTTCACCTTTCTAAACTTAAACGACAGTATTTCATGGATTTTAACTTCATATTTTCAGCTTTTACAAAAATTAACAACACTCTCCTGTACCATGCAAAAACCCCTTTGATCCCCTCTTCAGTGGTAACTGTGGATGATGTTGATTAGCTAGAAGGCCCATTTAAGACTGAGTCAGTTATTTGAAGCCCATTTTACTAAAAATGCCCCAGGAATGGTACTCCTGGTAATTCTTGAAGGGGTTGTGCCACCTGATTCTCTAAACCCTGACCCTATTTCAGACCAAAAAATATCATAATTATTTTTCCACACACATTTTCAGACCAGACCTCTAAAATTATGCCATCACTTCTTAGATTAGAGTGCAAACAAAACAATTCTTCTAATGCATTTCAAATTCACATATTTCTGTTTCGTTCTTACATTGTATTTATTTGGAATCAAAACGATAAAAAATGGGCAAAGTGTATACCTGTTTTCAGAACAAAAAGGTGCCAAAACCATACCCTCTGGGGCAGCACATACCTATATGGCTTATATAAGGTAGTACCCCCTCCCCCAGAAAAATTCTTGCTTCATTGCATCTAAATGTCTCTTTTCATAGCAATTTATCCCCTCACCCACCCCATCATCGCTAAATGAAATACCCCCCCCCCCCCCCCCCCCCCCCTTCCCCCCTTACCCTTCCGACCCCCCCCCCGGGCCAACACAAGACAAGCCACCCATTCATTTCCTTTTCCCCTTTTTTTTTTATAACCCTTTTTTTTTTTTTAAAAAAGCGTTTCTTTTTAAATCCATTTTTATTTATGTTAAAAAAAAGAAAAAAAATGGCAAAAGGTTAGCCCTGTTTTAAGAAAAAAAAGGTCCAAAAACCATCCCCTCTGGGGCAGCACAAACCTTTGTGGCTTATATAAGGTAGTACCCCCCCCCCCAGAAAAATTCTTGCTTCATTGAATCTAAATGTCTCTTTTCATAGCAATTTATCCCCTCCCCCACCCCATCACCGCTAAATGAAATACCCCCCCCCCTCACCCCGACAGTTACCTCATTACGCTTGCGAGCACACTCCGTGGACAAACAAAGGAATGCACTGCATTGATTTCCTTTTACCATTTTTTCTTTAATAGCCTATTTTTCTTTATAAAAAAGCGGTATGTATGAAACGCTATTTGCTTTACGTGAAGGTCACCAAACAGTGACAGGTCATCGGGAATCACGCGGATTGTGGAAATTTATAAAAAGTCAGAGGTAGTCGACATGGGGATCCCACACGTATCAATGATAAAACGAAATTTAAGCATTAAAGAGATACTGTCAAAAATACACTTCCTTGATACCTTTCTCGCCGCTGTTATTTGCCACTATTCTCGGAAATCTCCAAATGTTTCCTGTACCAACGACACATCCGATACAAGACAAAACTAATCCCCATTTGCTTGAAAACGACGACGCCTAAGTTGAAGCAGAGAGGTGCAAGAAACAGAAAAGACGCATTTCAGTTATACTCAGCACACTCCAAATGCGTGTTCAGTACTGTGATCACTATTTACCCGGGAATTCTGCTGATTCGAGCTTGAAGAACTTCCGAGCAGCGATCGTTGTTCTTCGCTAGACATGTTATGTTTTGCCTGGAAGTTTCTCAAGTGCCCTTTTTAATTTAGCGTGACTATGTCAAGTGATAAAAATCGCGCTACGCACTTTTCTTGCGTGACTATATCACGTGATAAAAATCTTGCTGTGTGCACGCGCCTGGCAGAAATTGCCCTCTTGAGCAAGGAGTACAAAGTTTCGGCGTCATATTATTTTGCAATGTTATGCTTTATAGAAGCAAAATGTCGTCGTTGTTTTCATATTGGAGAGTACAAAAAAAATTGCCAGATCCAACAGGCCCTTTTACAGTAGGATGCACAGATTACATGTGCGCTGGAAACGAATCTGTTGGAGGGAAAAATGCCGGCAGCTTCATTCGTTTCTTTTACCCAGTCTGCCCAGTGGATAAGACTGTTGGACCAATCGATGAATCAAAGTGTTGCTTCTGGATTCCTCGTCAAGAATATACAACAGGGCTTCTGAAATTTATGAATCTTCCCGTTTGGTTATTGTCACAATTCTTTTATTGGAGCGTTGGTGAGTTAAGCTTTGAATACTTGACGTTGTCCCCTAACGGAAAATGCAGAAAATGAAAGAGTCCCGGGAAAGAGTTTCTTACCAATTAGTGCGATGAACGAGCTTTATTTTAGCAAAAGTCCTGAACATAAAATAAGAAGCCTGTGACTCTTTATCCTTCACTTGACAATGGACAGAAACAATTAAGTCACCAAGAACTCAAGTTGTGGTCGGAATATTAGTGAATGTACGCAACATGACAGGAGAGGAAAGAATACAGCAAACCTTGTGTGACAAGCGTGGCAGTATTTTTGTTTGAAACAAATTTTTCAAAAAACAGATGTTTTTGCAAAGACCAGAAAATATTAATGTTAGAAGAGGATCACAACATAACACTCAAGTAATAGGCCTGTCATGTTTGTCACACACAGGCATTTTGCTGTCCTCTTCTTTCTGCCATCCTGTTGTATAAACTCACTTTTTCTGTTTCAAGCTTGGAGAGTACAGTGAATCTGGGTGCCCTGTGCTTACCTTGAAAACCTTGGCTTTGTGTGCCTCTCTGTGGCCTAAAAGTAAGGTGCGGGATCACCTCTACCTCCCGTAGTTTGCCAAATCCATTGTCTATTATATTGTAATCAAACAGATTTTATAGTACATATTGCAATTAAATTCTTTTCCTGTTGTTCTCAATTGAATGTGTGAAAGAAAACTTGTAAAAGCAAAACAAGACCTTAAAAGAACAAACTAAGATTAATAATTTAATTTTAGCAAAACATATGGTTGTACCTATTTGAGGTGACAACAATTTTTACCCACAACTACAGTAATGCTTTGTTTTTAAATGCTGGTTTCAGGGAATCTTCGTATACCTGCAGTATACAATGCCCCTGTTTTTAAACCCAGCAGTTGTAGTTTGGAGATGCAGTCATTGCCTTGTGTAGTGTTTTCACATGGCCTGGGTGGCAACCGTCTTCTTTACAGTACCTACTGCTGTGATCTTGCTTCGCATGGTTGTCTTGTGGCATGTGTTGAACACAGGTAAGCCATGTACACTGTGATGATAGAGTTAAGTTGTAACTAAATCACAGGAAACCCATATTGCCAGAGTTTAACCATATTTAATTTTATATAACACCCAGTGGAACCTCTCCTGAGAATGACCACTTTTTTAGAGAGGTGACCGTGTGTGTACAGCTGTACATGTAAGACAGTGTGATATAAGTGACATTTGTAGAGAGATGGTCATTTACTGAGGGTCCCTATACATGTACAGACCACTCCCGATAACTTAACCCTCGCTAACTTGAACCTTGTGCTACTCTAACCAAAATCGATTTCCCCTGGATTTCCTTCACAAATTTACCACAATTTTACCCTTGGTCACTCAAACCCTTGATAACTTGAACCTCCCGCTAACTCGAAGTAATTTTTGTTTCCCTTCTGATCATTTCTGTATAAATTTACCCTCGATAACCCAAACCATGTTTTGAGCACCTGACATAAGTCTAAAAAAAAAGTGCACTGAGTCCAAATCATTGAATTTATTTTAACAGCCACGTATTCTTTGTCTTTACTTTTTGGTCTGTCCAGTTTAAATACAGTGTCCAGCACCATGTATTTATCAAGCTTTGAAGTGTGCATGATGTGGCTTGAATTCATTCCCCATTCCATTTCCTTATTTTCCATTATGTTACTTCGAACTCCTGATAACTAGAACTATTTTCGATTTCCCTTGAAGGATTGAGTTATCAGGAGTGGACTGTAGGTTTTTCAGGATCCATGATTTAGCTTATTTTAAGGTTTTCACTTGGGATGAGAAAGGATAGCTTTGGACAGTTGTCAACAGGCAAGGGGAGCAAAAACAAAACTCCCATAAAATTTCAGTTTCTCTTTATGATCACTGAAAACAGCTAAACAACAAGAAAAAAACATTAACAGGAAAGTGCATTAAGTGACAATTTTGTAGTGATATTAACAGAAAATATTTGCTTTGCAAATCGCCAATATTTGATTTTTTTGGTGATATAAAATAAAAAAGGCCAATGTTTTAAAGTTTGTCATTAAAATAATTTTTTTTAGAGATGAGTCAGCATCTGCAACATATGTTTTGAAAGAGAAAGAGGACTCTGAAATCACAGAAGAGTGGATCCAATATCACCCACTGCAACCAAGTTACAATGAGTTTGAATTTAGAAACAATCAGGTTGGTAAACTGTGCTAGACATTTTTTTTATATGGTTTTATGAAATTTCTCTTAGATCAGTCTAAGGAGAATTGCTAAACACCCTGTCTTCTATAAAGACTAACTTGGGTGCCCTGTGCAAGTGTCTATAGTGATGCCTTATATGGTGATATTTTTATAATGTATTTTTTTCTCTTAGGTTCATAAAAGAGCAGATGAATGTATATATGCTCACAACTTACTAGAGAAAATTCATGCAGGAGAGTTTCCTCACAATTTGTTCAAAGATTCATCCATTTTAACACAACTAAAGCTACATGTATGTGAACTAAAAGTGATTGTTTTGGTAATATTAATAACCACATGTATAAAAATTTATAAGGAAAACTATTTTCTTATTTTGCTCTTCTCTTTTAAAAAATGCATGGAATGAATGTTCTGTTGCAAGCCCTCCTTTGAATGATCTCTTGACCCCCCTACATTTACCTCTTTTAATAAGTTTTGTTCAAGAAGATGAACTGCATCCCTTAAGTCAAACCTAGGCTTGATTACTGGCCTAAATCAAACCTCAACTAGCAGCTGCTTCTTTTCAATTGCTCCTTTTCTTTGCTCTAACTGATTCAATGACACAACAAGTTTTAATCTGTCTTAAACAGGGCTTCTGATATTTTCTGGGATGTTGTGATTTTGCAAGTTATTGACCTCAAATTGCAGAATTCGTGAAAAATCACATAATTCGTGAAAAAAATGCTAGATTCAAGAAAGAAAAATTATAAATTCTACCTTTAATTAAACATTTTCTCAATCTTAATGTTATTTAAGGTGATTTACCACTCAAGACAGCCTTGCAAGACATCTGAAACCTTTTTTGTTTTCTTTCTGGGTCATGATAATTGGACAGATTCAACTATCTTGTTTTAAAATAGATGTTTATTATTCTTTTACATTCAAATTGCCTATTAAACAACATTAAAGTGATTTTTCTCCTTTGAAACCTGGTAAAACAATGTTATTTAGCCCTGAAAAAATCACATAATTTATCGCATAATAGTCCTGTCTTATTGCACAATCTGCCCTGAAAATGCCGCTTAATTTCTGATTTTTTATCGCACCCTATTAGAAGGCCTGTGTCTAAACTGGCTATCACCCTACAAGTATATTTTCCTGTGTATCCTTATTTCTTTTGGTTTGCCGTCGATCTTCACAACTGTTAATAATGTTTGACTTGTGTGTTCACCTCTGAAGTGGCCACCACCCTACCATGGACACTTTCCTCTGTCCCAAAGATAGCCACTGTGAAGATCATAATCTGACTTTATTCCACACTAAGTCTCCCGCTCAATAACAGTATAAAAATGGACAACAATTTTTCAGACCATTTTGACCATAGAAATGCTGTAAAAGTGTTGAAAACTCATTCAAGTGGAATGGCGAGTGGTTTCAACGCAATTTATTTGAGGTCTTTTTCTAGTGAGGTTACAGCTGTATCTTGGAAAATCACAAATTGTGTCATCATCATTATCAGTTCCATTGTCCGCGCCCTCATCAGCCATAAATTTTTTTTTTAACCAGTCAGTGTAGAAAAAATCGCTCTGCTGTTGTAACATTTTTTTTTCATTTAAGGGAAGGTTGGACTTGAGTAAAGTTGCAGTTGTGGGCCATTCATTTGGAGGAGCTACCACAGTGTTGACTTTGGCAAAAGACAAGCGATTTAGGTGAGGAACTCAAGGATCAGAGTCCTTGAGTATATCCATAGCAAGGGTAGCTCAAGGGGGGGTGGCGTAGTGGTGACAGCATTTGCCTCTCACCAGTGTGGCTTGGGGTCACATCCCAGCATCAATGCCCTATGGGTGTGTTGCAGAGTTTGTCGTTGGGTCTCTCACATGTTCCCTGACAACCTCGTTCCCAGGGTCCTCTCCTACCCTCTCTCTCGCTCCGTAGGGATGGGTAGGAGAGGACCCTGGGAATGAGGTTGGTTCCCTGAGAGGTTTACTTCAGGTACTCCAGTTTTCCTAAGTCTAGTTTGACTAAGAATGGCAAGCAAAGAATGGCTATGTGATAATAGTGTTACTTCTAAATCATTGTTATTTCTATTATTTAGTGTGAGATACTGAAGAGGGTGTGTCTTGCCCACTGTTTCCCTTACATGACAAAATCAAGTTACTTAGGAGTGCACTACTGAAAATGGCCAAATGTGCTAATAGGTGGAAGAATACAAAACCAAAATGTAGGTCGTTTCTGAGGTTCAAGTGCAACACCTTTTGTTATTTCTTTTTTACCATTTTTTAAGGTATATAATGTACTAAGTTACAGCACTGTAGTGGACAGTTTAAATTGTGGATTAGCATGTATATCTAATAAATTCCCTCTCTTGGAGACATAGACAGTAGTCTATGAATTGTTTAAAACTTGCGGCCTGTGAGCAAGGTCCTGGTAGGGTTGGGGGCGGGAAGCTCACTCAGTGGTGTTTTTTTCCTCTAACCCCCAATCCTTGAGATCTTAAATTCTTGTAGAAGGCTGGAGAAAATCGTCAAGGAATGGACATTAATTTAAATATGTGGTTTTATACAGATGTGGTGTCGCTCTGGATGTGTGGATGTTACCGTTAGGAGAAGAGATCTTTAAATATGATGTAAATCAACCTTTGTTTTTCATTAACACTCAAGCTTTCCATCGCTGGAAGGAAAACATGGAACCATTGAAAAACTTTATAAACAAAAAGCCAGGTAAGCATTCTTATCTTGAAACCTCTTATTACTGCTCTTTTCACAAACATGCGAATTCTGAAGTTCTAAAGCCCACTGACGATTGCATTTTGCGCTGCCGTCATTCATCTTAACCCATTCGCCCCTGAACCGCCCGTAACCGCCCGTGCGAATCCACGTCCTTTCTACCCTTTGTGACGTCATCAGTTTTAACGGTCAAGGACAACTTTGTCCACTAACTTGTGCAGAGTGAAGAGATCTTTCAAACCATACCAGAATGAGCACAATTTAGTCAAGGACACCGCAGAAAGAAGCAAAAAACCATGTGACATTGACCTGAAAATCTCCCTGAAAATCTTGTTCCATTGCTCACCTACCTTTCCTTTCACCTAATCCTAAGATCCTAAAAGCTTTCCTAAAAACTCTTCCCACCAACATGAAGCCTACTAAATGCCCAGCAAGAGAAAAAAAAATGAGGCAAGAAAAGCGAAAAAAGAAGGGAGGAGAGAATCTCGAAATTTTGCTTTCTGCGCATGCCCGAACTTCGCAAGCTGATATTTTGCATCTGGATCAGAAGGCCGCGAAGTGTACGACCTGTAAACGGGTTTGTGGTAAGTTTTAGCTCTTTATAGCACGACAGTGACCAGAAAACCACTCGACTAGCTTCAAAACACGTTTTTCGGCAAAATCTCCAGGAGCGAATGGGTTAACGGACCTCTTAGGAAGCAAACCTTTACTTTAACGGGTTCAAAAGGTCATGGTTTGTGATTTGTGATTGGTGGATTTTGTATGTTTCTGTGTTTCAAGGTTCGTTGCTTGTGCTCGTAATTATGATTGCGAAAAACGAAATTGTAAAAGCTTTTGAACTTTAGAGTTCGCATGTTTGTGAAAAGTGCAGCAATCAATGCCACTTTAATCGTTTGCGAGGTCTGTGATGTAAATTACGGAGCAAGTTCCCAAGCAGGTTCCCTGCTAGTAGAGGTGTCTCTCTGCCTCGTCATGAGGTAGTTAGTGGACCATAAACGAGGTGGAAAATCAGGATCCCTTAACTGCAGTGCAGACAAGAAGAAGTTACAATCATGTAATGAGACAGGGCTGTCATTAGCTGGCCTGTGTGGCAGGAGCAAAAAGGGGAGGGGGAGGGAGAAAAGCGCGAAAGTGGGGAAAAGGGAATCCCACTCCCTTTTTCCCTTCCTCCCTATCCCCTACCCCTTTCGACGCCTGCTACGCAGGCTATCATTAGAAGTTTTGAGTTTTATATTTGTCTCGTAGGGAAACCGACAAATCCTAATATTAAATTTTGTTATGTGTGACTCGTTTTCAAACTAAGAATAGCCGCAATCTGAAATTTGCGCTGTAAAAATGATGGACCGAGTGGGAAGTCGAACTTCTATAGGAAGTGTGCACCCCTAAATCGAGGGGAAAATAATGCTCCATATTAAAATGCAGCACGGGAGGAGAAAAGGAGAGTAATAAGATATTTATTTTATTGATTACTTATCACAGAACGAGAATGACTTGACAGGAGTGTCAAAACATCTAATTCACGAATCAGTTTTCCTTTCACCGACTTCACCTGTGTCTGACACGTTACGATAACTTCTACCTTCTGTCCCCGATAAACTGAGAACGTCAAGTGACATCTTCTTTACTTTCAACACTCGAATTGTAAGTACTAATTGGAAGAAAGACTCTATACTTCTTTAAAAATGCACATAAAACCTTTTAACTTGCTTCATTGATCGTGAGGTTCCATCTCTTGCAGATCAACGGCCTATTATAGCCATAAGGTAAGCGTGCTCTTTCTTTGACTAAGAAACCTGGTCTTGGTATTCAGTTAATTTTGTTGCGTGGCCAGTCAGTGTACTTGTAATAGGTAGTTTAAGCCACAGCGTTTTTGTGCGACGCATGTCAACTTGAAGTGGGCTTTTTGCAATCTTGGACCGTGATTTTGAACAAGTATTCCAGCTGATCATCTCCATCAGAGTAAAGACATTTAGCAATACAAATTTGGTAGCCTCAAGGCATATTAAAAGGGAAAAGGATTTACTTCCAGTTGATGTGCGTCGCTCAAAAACGTCGTTGCTCAGCTCGCGGAAGACTGACGACTAATTTGTTTATCGCAGGTGGACCAAGCACATGAATCAATGCGACATTCCATCCGTTCTACCCCCATATATTTTGCGCATGACATCCCTTGGTAGCAAGCTTGATCCATCCACTGCAGTTGGTCTCCACAGAAGGGCTGTTTGGGCCTTTATATCAAGACATTTTGGTACTTGTTAGCATTTCTAACCTCTTTTTAATTAAATACTAACTTATTCTCTCCCCTTATTGGGTTTTCAGGGATAATGAAACAAAATTATAATTTAAACGGAACAAATCATGGTTGAGAACCAGTTGGCTATTCTACAAGCGACGTCAAGGATTTGAACACGGGACTACCGAGAACAGGTAGTCTGAGTGGTCATGGCGAGACTTGAACTCATTACCACCGTATTACAAGTCTGATCCTGTGGTCCTACCGCTCGATCTTGCTGCCTCCGTTTTACTTGTTCCCACGAATTGTGGTCGTTTCGCCCGAAAGTCGATTCGCCCGACGTCGTTCGCCCGGACATTAGTCGATTCGCCCGATGACATAAAACACTCTACAACACGGTGAACATACCTTTCGAGATGTTATGTTAGTTACCCTTGGTTAGCACATGTACAGTCACTGTCTTTCCATGCTTATTCCCTTTTTCAGGCTTAAAGAACGATAAATAAGCTTCGAGCGAATCGACTTTGTCTGGGCGAACTGCTATCGGGCGAACCGACAATCGGGCGAAACGACTTGATACCGTTCCCACTATGAAAACACGGGCACCTTTAGATGGGCCTTTCGAACAAGTATAAGCATACCTTCGAGCTTTTAAACCACGTCTGTGTGCTTTAGACAATCATTTTTCACACCAATTTTGGCCCTTGGGTCTAGGTGCTTGGCGATAAGGTAGTAAGTTATGGTAACATAGCTGGTTTGAAATTCCTAGATCGTATTCTTTGTCCATTTTGACAGCGTGGTCATTAGCATCACCACTGTCACCACTATATTTACTTTTAAATTTTTTCCTTATCCGTTATAATCGTCCTCGGCGCCGTTATTGCATCTTCTTTATCGTCAACGTAAACATTATCATCGACACAGCAATCATAATCACCGTGACAGTCATCGCGTTTGTTGTCATCATCATCAGCATCAAATCTGATCTTCTGCACCATTGAAGTACATCATCATAATAGCCCCTTGGAGCTAGCCATTCACGTGGTACAAAACCGACTATTGTTCTCCAGCATGGCGGTTTTGTACCACGTGAATGGCTACCTGCAAAGGGCCTATTATCACCATCACTATAATGGTATTTGTATTGAACATCATCATCATCATCATCATCATCCTAACCTTTGTGATCTTTGTCATTATCTGTTGACTCGTGTCAACATGAAGATGATTAAGATTTTCATCATTATCACCATCGTCGCCTTCATCTTCTCAGAAGTAGTTTGCCCTTACCTCTTAACATCTGTCATAGTCATATCTTGTTTTCTCTCTAGATATTGGTAAACCACCATCACATCTGCCGATAATTGACGGAGGAGAGGGTACACCGGAACTTATTGTCATCGGCCAGGAATGGCCGGAAAAACGAGGCCAGGACATAAACATGGCAAAGAGCACACTTTGATAAGATAATTATTGGTATGGAACACTAGTTTTTCTAATTAGTACTACTCACTTTATTCATTCAGAAATTGTTTTTAAAGTTATTTATCTATTTTATGGGCTTCCTATTGTCAATATTGTGAAATCCCGCCCTTAACGACCAGAATACCGATTTAAGCACTGAAGCACACGTACCAACTCCGCGGTTAACTCCGCGGTATGGAAAGTACCTTACGCATGCGCACAACCATATCACTCCGGTAGTGGTCTCACTTGCGATCATCGACGCCGCCTGTTACTACCAAGGCGAGTGCAAAAGCACCCCTTTAACGACCACACCCTTTCTAGGACCGCATGGTTACTAAGGCCCTGTCCACACTAATGCGTTTTCGTTTTCATCGAAAATTGTCGATCGTTACGCGTCCACACCGAGTACCGTTTTAATGCGTTTTCGACTATCCACGCTAAAACTTTCGAAAACGATAGAACTGCAACGTTGTGATGTACGTTGCACTCTATGGGCATTCTATAAACACACGCGGCTGCGATTTTTTCGGTTATCGTTTTCTCTTTGATGCGTTTTTGACCGTCCACACTAATACGATATGAATGCTTTTTCGTTTTGATCCAGTTTCAAGAGCGTTTTCAAATCGATGCGGTTTCGATGAAAACGCACGGCGTATTAGTTTGGACGGACGGCCTAAACGAATCGAAATGTATGCGTTTTCAAACGAAAACGCATTAGTGTGAACAGGGCATGAATTTCATTTCCTCAACCAAACTTAAAATCCCTCAGTCATTCCCATATTTGAAATTATTTTTGATAGGGCAAGTTTTGCTAATTGACTACCTTGCCGCCGTTTCTTACTCTATTTCACAAGCACAGTGTAACATCCCTTGATATGATTCCAAACCAAGGACCTCTTTATATGACCTTTGGGCTTTATCTTCTCCCTGTTCTTAATATGAACAAATTTTTAGACTGTTTGGTCTCCCGAAAAGCCAGTTTATGTATTGAGACGATATAAAAAAGGAATGCCACATGAGACAAACAATTTTTACGTCGTGTTTGAAGTGGGGTAAGAAGAGGAAAACTAAACAAATAACAATTAATTGGAAATTTTTGTCCCGTGTAAAAACAGCTATCAATTTACCTGAGGTACCTTTCTTATAATAAAATTTATTTGCTTCAATAATTTTGCATGTGTTTGTCTTCTTGCATTTTTGTCATCCACGTTTTTATTTATTAGCCGAGCTCTCGCGCGCACGAAGCGCGCGTCAGCGGAGCTCCATGGGTGGGTAAATCTACCTATCCCAGAAAATTTGGTAATCATGTGATCGCACACCGAACGACTGTCCGTCCGCAAAATAACTCAATCAACAGGTATGGCAACCTAAGTGTAACTCGAGGTTATTTTGGCGGAAATAGCATAGCCACCTGCATCTTGTAAAGCAGAGACAACTAGAGAGTCAATAAAGACGAAAGGGGAAATTGTTTCTGTATCCGTGTTGTCGAAAGTATTAAGCTTAGATTAATTGTCACGTCCACAAATTTGGAATATAGAGCAAGAGAAAGACAGAGAAAAAGAGAAAGTAGGCGGCAGGCTAGCGAAGCTCAACCAGAAAAAGAGTGACAGAGATCTAGAGTCAGAGATAAAAAAAAAACCAAACAAACAAAGGAAACATTTTTTGTTGGATGAACAACATGAAAATTTTGTAGCGGCAGTGACAAAATGAGAAATGCTAGCGGCTACCAATAAAAGGTGAAAATGAGCGGCAGTGAAAAAAAAGTGAACGAGAACACGTACGACATTTCTTCAAAAAACGTGTAACTAAGAAGTTTCTGAAAGTTTCACGTTGTAGTCGTGCAAGCCAACGGCAAAGAAATGTACAAAAAAGTGTGCTGCACGTGCAAAGTTGCTTTTTTGCTAACTAGACCTATTAGGGCCGTTTATACGAGAGATAATAAGCCGCGGCTAACTCTGGCCGCGGCTTATATAAGACGCGAACACCCCGTATAAATGGTATAAAATCTATGTTCACGGCTTATTCAACCCACGGCTAGCTCAAGCCGCGGCTTATCCTGGCCGAGGAGTTTTGGGCTGGGCTTATGCAAGCCGCGGCTTAGGACGATTGCTGCACATGCTCGCACATGCTCTATTTTCAATTATACACGAGACCTTCATGGCCGAGAGACGCGCGCTGCATTGGCGGGAAAATGACCTGCTTCACGAGAGAAATTTCGTCCATTTTCTCCACCTCATCCATCGCCGGAACATCTCTTTTAATCCACTCGACTGACTGATCGCTGACGAACTTTTCGACGAGGTTTCCGCACAACTTTCTCAACAGCCAAGCACTAAACTTCACCGAAATGTTAATTTGAAAAGAAAACGACAGTGTAAAATATGGCGATTTTCCTGACCAAAGCCAGCTCGGTCGCTCGCACCAAAACAAACTACATCATCACTGGACTGGTCTGGCCGCGGACTAAGCCGTGAATCATTTATACCAGCAATTCGGGTCTTATGTAAGCCGCACTCGTATAAATGGTTCCATTGTTGTTTTTCACCGTTCCCCGGCGTTGCCTTCGCCGCTTAGCATTACACGATTTTATATTTTGTTTGAACAAACTTTAAATATTATCGAGAGCTTCGCTTTTAGCCTTGGCTAAATCTATATATTATAATTTTTGAATTTCTAAAATTAATTATTCCACATTCAAGAATATTTGTACTCTCATGAGTATTACTCCACGCTTGTTATAAGTTTTTCCACGCCACATCTCCTATTTGTCGAAACAATAACTGGTTAACCAATAGAAAAGATGATTAACAATAAACCACCAATAAGATTTGGTATGAAGATCGCGCGTAACAATCAAAAATGTATTACCTTTAGTCGAACCACTTTCAGTTCAGCATTGAGCAAAACTGCTTTCGGGTTTTCATGTCCAACAATATTCGCCGAATTTGTTGCGTTCTACGTAAAAAGACGATGCAGCCATCTGACACAAAGAAGGGAGAACTGACGAATCGAGGAAAAGGTCTTAACAAAAAAATGGTGACAGAAACTAGCGTTTTCAACATCGCTTATCATCGCTGAAATCCTTTGACGAAAATCACTGTTTTAATTATTTGTCGATATGCTTTCCTCCAGGTAGATACGTCGAGCCAAGGAGAAGCTGACTGGGTAATTGTGTTGAACATTTAGGGTGCGTTCGATTGGGAAATCCGGATTTAGATTTTCAAAATCTAAATCCGGATTTCCCAATCGAACGCGAAATCCGAAAACGGATTTCACCTCCGAGAAATCCGTCCTCAGGGTGGATTTCAATTAAGAAATCCAAATCCGGATTTTTTTTATTTCTCTTTTTGTCGTTCGATTGGGAAATCCGAAAAAGTGATTTGCTAAACTGTTCTCGTGAATAGCGGACTATCTTGTGCTGATTATGCGTACGTATAATTAGCACAAGATAGTCCGCTGTTCACGATAACAGTTTAGCAAATCCTTTTACTGATTTCCCAATCGAACGACAAAAAGGGAAATCCATCTCATTAAGTGTTTCATTAAGTGTGTTGAACATTTAGCAACATTACATTCATTTCATTTCTTTAATTGGAGACCTATATTTGTATAAATGCAAAATAACCAGAGAAGTAAATAAAGTTTGGTGAACTGAAAAGTTTGATAATGGTCGCGCTTGTGCCCTCTCTGCGACGGCCTTTACTGTTCGTACACTTTAATATCGCTTTTGAATTTTCCGCAAATAAAACAAATGTTCAAATACACCTTTTGTCCTTCATTACGTGAAAATATTTTTTAAATTAATGTATGAACAGTTTAGCCAGGAAAGCAAACATTTAACTTTGTTGTTAGTAATGATTTTTGCATCACGAAGAACAATTATTAAGCCGTATTAGTCCATAGCCTAAAACAATATTCTTTAGCGCGAATGTAGTCTGTGAACAGGCTAGCACGTAGGCTAGCGCAAATGGAGTTTTATTTTCCTTGGGTGAATTTTCGTTCATGAGGAAAGAATATCAATAGCTTTTATTTTCATAAGCATTATCTTGCCAATATCGCGTTGAATTTGAAGGCACCCTTTAATCCGAGGGCGAATTTTACTATGTACAGCTGTACCTGAAACTCGTTTTAAAAAAGAAGTGGCGGCGCGTGTAGTAGGTTGCAATCATTTCGTTAGGCTTGTACATGTATGTAATTTGCTTCCGTGCTTGCACAAACACACGGTGCGTACAATGTGCAGTCAATACACGTAAAGTCAGGGAGCAGGAAGATGCCTTAAGTATTTGTTTCTTGTCTTACTTTAATCACAACCTACTGGACATTTATCCATAGCACTAAATGGTAGATTTTGCAATTATGAAAGCAAACAAACCAATTGCAACTCCCAATTTCTACTTTATATCGCCGTTCGTTTGGCAGCGAAGTCCAAAAATGCAGATTTTTGGCCGAAAATCATCACCAAAAATTACACTTTTTCGTTGTCGATTTTTTAGGCCAAAAATTGATTTGAAAATCGAAAGTCTGTATTTACAACAATTCTCAAGGTCATACCTTGGTGTCTAGTTGGAATTTTCTCTCTTGCTATTTTCGCTTGACATACTTCAACTATTTTCTTAGAGCCAGTATCGCTATCTCAACTTTGCTCGTTCGTGCTCGAAAGGAATTCTGGATAATTAAGTCACACCGTGGGCGAAGTAGCGCCTTTTTTTTTTATAAGAGTTGGGCCACCCAGTCCTACCAGCGAAATATTGTATATATTGCGTTGTTTACAATTCTCGCCCAAATTGTCTTAGTAGGTCCTGGAATCCGTCCACAGGACGACCAGAGAGATGACTTCACTCGTGAACCGCCATGTCTGCTTCGAAGCATGTTTGGCGGCTCAAAGGTTTCCGTTATTATATACCTCGACCCTTTAAACCCTTATCAGAATTCAAATTACTTTTAATTTGTTGTCTTTATAGATTCATATTTATAGTGTGGAGACGTTGTTTTAGTATTATATTAACACCCTGTACCATGAAGACTTTGTAAAGCTTTATTATGAATTGATACTACAAGGAGAAATTTGATGTTAATCACCCTTGGTGCTTAAAGGGGTCGAATTGATTCCCACGCTTGATTTTCACGCTTAATTGACTTTTGTTATTTATAGAAAATGACTTAATGCGCTTTACGAAAGAAAAGTATATAGATCTATTTAGATCTTATTAATAAAGGTTCGAGACATTTTGATAACTGAGGCATATACACACCACGAATTTACATTGTACCGTTTTTCATCGCGATGTATATGACACCTAATGTACCAGAAAGGATATACCTCGAGTTGCAACCTGCGACAAGAATTGACGTTGAACAATACGAAGACATCGTATGGGAGGCAGCAACTGAAACTGTAGCAGCACAGAGAGTTGGGCAAGAGAACATCCAACAAGATAGGAGCTTAAGAGGACAGTTGCCACATAAAGCTGAGAATGGCGCGCGAGAAAATTTCTGGGGAGGCAGGCAACATCAGCTCCTTAAATTAGCTGCCGTGGTCGTAACTTTCCTGATTGCTGTTACTGCTCTAGTTATTGTTGTGATAAAGTGGTCTGAATCCACAAATCCGGAGAAAGGTACGTTTAAAACATGACATTTTTGGAGTGTAAACGTAAACGCGACTATCGAGAGAATCTGCCTTGGAGATCTTAAATTCCTTTGAGGTAAAATTTCTTTTCTAAGTTTCACCTCTTTTCGAACACTTTAAAACTCTATCTAATATAAAATAGCCAGTGCCGGACTAAACTACCATTTTGAAAGGTGTTAAAATAGGTAGGTTTATTGAAGGTCTACAAGCATGCATACGAGCTTCTCAAGGCGGAAGTACAAACATACATATTTTATTGATGCTCCTTAAATAACGCTTTTTTAAAATTCCAATAAATGCATAGATTATAGAGAATTATATACTCTTATGTTATAGATTAAAGATATAAGTTTTGACAAACTCTCAGTATGTCTTCGTTAATCGTGCAATAGACGACCATCAGAAACACAGACAGGGACGGCAACGAGAAGGAGCAAAAATGATTTATTTGTTCAAAATAACAACTCTGCGGAATACCCCAGCATGCGCAACTTATGATTGCAGTTTCTAATAACTTTTGCCCGCACGCAGTGCACCAAAAATATAAAACACAACGACGAAACATTCGAGATTATTGTCGGCTAATTAATGAATCGTGACCAAGCTGATTTTACCTCAAATCGATTGGAAGACTATAGAGAATTACCCAGCCCAGCTCTGAAGTTCTTTCTTTCTTAAAGCAGTGGTTCTGAGTTGCCTTTTTGAAAGTTCTCTTTAAGTACATTATCTCAAGCAGTGCTATAAAGGAAGAAACAATATTCGGGAGGCGGGACAAAGACGTTAACGTATCCGCCCTGTTTTGCATTCTTATGTCTTTTGTTTGCTATTTTTATTTTAAAAAGTAAAAATTGTGAAGATTAATGTCGACTAAAAGGCACGCGCCAATTACTTTGGGGAAAGAATTTTTTCACTCTAGCAGTCTTGCATCTAGAGACGCTAGGAGTAAGACGCTTATCAACGGGAATTTGCAATTGCAATATCAAATGTTTCGAGCCTCAACTTATGCTTTGGGACAAATCAGAAAATATGGTCTTTCATTTGAGGCGATGCATCTTCTCCTCTTTTTGTCTGCTTAGCTCAATCGTTGAATGTCTATGTAAGATAATTTCATTGAAGCAGAAAATGTGTCAATTTTAAGCGCAGTCTCCCGATAGTCTCGATCTTCCCACTTAGAATAAAGCGTAATACACAACCTGTCCTGACAGTGCATGATAATAATGTCGTTACAAAATTCGCAACAAAGAAAAAAAACGTAAATAAATCGCGATATATCGGGTAATGTCCTTATTTCGTGTTTGTTTGTCTGTTTGAACTTACAGATCTTCCACTCGTCAACTGTGCAACCAACACGCACTTGTGCAATGTCAATGCTGTTTGCCAGAACATAGAGGGTTCTCATATCTGCATCTGCAATTCTGGATATGCTGGGAATGGCAAAATATGCGCTGGTAATTAGGATTATAAAAATACTCTTTTCATATTATGGCTAAGATACTGCTTGATATAGCGCTCCTGCTTTTTGTTCTTCCGTGTCATTCTACCTGTCAGTCCGTCCGTTCTTCTGTCTGTCTGTCTTTCCGTCTGTTAGTCTTCCAGTCTGTCAGACTTTAAGTCAGTCATTCAGTCCGACAGTATGCCTGTAAGTCTATCAGTCAGTTTGACACTCAGTCTATCTGTCAGATTATCAATCAGTCAGTCAGTATGCCAAACTGTCAGTCAGTCTGTCAGTCTATCATTCTGACGTCCGCCCATCTTTCAGTCTCTCTGTCTATCCATTTGTCCATCTGTCCATCTTTAAAAGTGACGTTTTCGCTGCTGTCGCCCTCGTCGATGCTGAAGCTGCCTAATCTATCTCTACTCTCCCTAGATATTGACGAGTGTGCAACCAGTAGCCATTCATGTGATGCCAACGCTTATTGTAATAATACCATTGGATCACACAACTGTACCTGTAACTCTGGTTATACCGGAGCGAGTGGGCAAACATGCTCAGGTGAACAAAAACAATAATAATACTTTATTTAAAGTGGAATATACACTTAGCTATATGGATTAGTTTAAAAGAAAACTTCACAAGCTAGTTTACAAATGTGCCACTGCAAATAAAATTAAGAGAACAAAAGATAAAAATGAATAAGACAATATAAAAGCTATTTATATTAAGTTCAGTATCATTCATAAAATACTATGAAAAACTATTTACAAAGTCGATGAAAAGGACGATTCGTAGGTAATAAAATAATGATTCATTTGCTAATACTTTTCTAAACGTTTTAAAGTCGAAAGACGCTCTCAGGACATCAGGCAAGTTATTCCAAAACTTGGGCTCCTCACAAGTCTCATAACGTCAGGAATTAAGTCCAAAGCGCGATGTGTTGACCTTTGGCACTTTTAGAAAGTTCTTTCCTCTGAAGGCAGATGTAGTTTCTCTTGACGATAATAAGTCATTCACACTCTGCGGGTTCGTTTCCTCATTTACGAGTTTACAAACCGAACAGAGGATTTTATGTAATGTTTGCTCCATCAGGAATCTTCTTCCTAAAAGCTTAAGAAGTTCTACATATTGTAGTGTTTATCTTTAAAGACATACCGAACAGCTCTTTCATTTACTTTTTCTAGTTTTTCAGCCGAACCCTTATTACAGAAATGCCAGGTCTGTGCACAGTAATCGAAATGTGGAAAGATAAATGATATGTAAATATTCTCTCTTATATCGAAAGGAAGTATGTTTCTCATGCGCTTTAAAATTGCACCCTGTTGAGATACTTCTCTACAGATATTAGCGACTTGCTTATCGAATTTCAACATATCATCAACAGTTAAACTCAAAGCATTTTTTTGCGCATCGCTATTTGAAATGATATTTATTTTCGCGGCGAAATTCCGGATTAACTTTCCTATAGTTCATTACCATAGCTTGGTATTTAGAGTGGTTTCTTTTTCATTTTTCAATACGTCAAAACTATTCTTTGTTTTTCTCACTCCCTCACTCACTCCCTCGAAATAAAAGACATTGTTGCTTCCTTATCCTCCATACATTGACGAGTGCATAGACATCACCCATAACTGTGATACCCAAGCTTTTTGTAACGATCCCGTGGGTTCTTACAATTGTACTTGTAATCCAGGACACATAGGAAACAGGACAACGTGTGCTGGTTGGTTTTTAGTTCTTTTTTTTTTAATTTCTAGGAGATCCCTTTCCCTAACCAGGGAAACATAAGTGAATTCGTAGGGAAGAAGTTGTGGCCTCTTGAAAGTCGAAGCCGTTTCAATACTTCAATAATTTTTCAAATTTATTCGTCTTTAAAGACCAAAAAGATCTAGAGATCTACAAAACCTGCTAGTTTGATCGTATCAGCAGGACGAAAGTATGAAAGGGTTTGGTGAACTAATTAAATCGCAGTCCTCACTCACCTGAACGTTTACTTCCGTTTCAGTGGGTTCCAAACCCTCTAATTACTCACTTCCGCATACTGTCCGAATACCTTTTAACACTGGACCAAAGTCTGTCTCATAAACTATCCGATATGTGACGTTCTACTTAGTTTTCGAGATTGGCGCTAGGCAGCTTTGCACAGTTACAAAACTGACGCCTTTCTTAAAGCTTACTTTTTTCCCGTAAAAGAATCATACACCCACCTCATTCAATACTCTCTTTTTCCCCTCATGTTCCAACATTCCCAATCTTGCACTACAGTTGCTATGCATCTCATTATCCTAAAACAGATTTGTCCAAGTTTTTTTAACCCTCTTGCTGGGTTCGCTATTTTGAACAATCTCATCCATGCATTAATAAAGGGTCTTCTAATAAAATAATTTGATCAAACGATTCCACGCTCAGGGCTTTGACCTTAATAGACTTCTTTCATAATAGCAGCCCGCCATTTATTTATTCTTTCATATCTATATAAATGAGCCTTTCTGGTTTCGTTTGAAAGTAAAAATTCTTTTGTATTTTGCACATGCAAACTAGGTGAGCAAGGCTAATTAGCATAGATATAAATAAAGGATATTACATGGCCTCGCGGAGATACGAAATTTCTCTTCGCGTGTTAAAAAAATATTTCACGAGTGAGGGCAGCGAACTAATTCCAATATTTTACTACTACTACTACTACTACTACTACTACTACTACTACTACCACTACCACTACCACTACCACTACCACTACCACTACCACTACCACTACCACTACCACTACCACTACCACTACCACTACCACTACCACTACCGCTACC